ATACCTAGTAAATCAAAGAAAAAATTATTTGGTCAACGCAGTACACATACAGTTAAGTAGGATTCTCATCAGAAATTTGTGGCCTGTAACATCCAATTAAAGATTTGTTAATTTGTGATATCCAATTGAAGATTTAAGCAGTATATACAATATTGCATGTAAAACCATAGAATGTCAAGTCTATATTTTAAAAATAGAGCAATTTTTTCGCCGTCGATGTCGTGTCCCAAATAGTTGCGTGCAGTTCACGCGAGACGTGGCACGAGATATAATTGATATTGCAGTTTGATAAATTTAACCGCCAGGGGCCGGTTGTTCGAAAGATGGATAACTTATCCAACGGATAAGTCCTATCCAACGGATAAATCTGCTATCCAGTGGATAGTTATCCATTGAATAAAAACGCATTGCACGAAGCGTGGATAGTGAAGTGGATAGCTAACCAATAGATAAGTTAAAATTTACCGGAAGAAAACAGGATTATCCTGAAATTTCGTACCACAACGTCAGCTGTTGCTAAGCTTCTCGAGTATAGTTACTGAATGGAAAAGACTTGAACAAGTGATTTGCTCGAACTTTGCACTTCACATCATAGTGATTTTATTAATTAAACACATTGCAATTTTATTCCTTGACCTTGCAACGCTTTGCTATTCGGTTCCATAGCAAATTTAGGAACACTATTTTAATGCTCGCGTGAAGGAAATTACTTAGATATTAGCAAGTTTTCTTGGAATAGGTTGAATCTTTCTTTGCATATTCGCGTTTATAAACTGATTAGAAGCGTATAGTAAATTTACCGCCTATAATAAATGCGAGGATCTCCAAAAAATCGCCGCCCGGAACGGAATGTGTAGGCAACGTGAAACGCTGCTGCGACAAATCGCATTTCGAAAACATTTCTAATAGTGAATACAATCATGATGTGTATTAGTTTGTTGAAACACAGTAACAGGAATATGGCATTTTGTCCTATTTTATATAAATGTTTACAGTGTTACCTCAAAGATACATCTTTGAATTTATCCACTGGATAGTGGATTTAAACCACCTCCAGACCTTGGATAAATTTATCCGGTAGATAGCGATTTTTATCCGCTGGATAAAGTTATCCAAGCTTCGTGCAACGCAAGTCACACGCTGGATAAAACTTATCCGTTGGATAGCGACTTATCCGTTGGATAGCGACTTATCCACCATTCGAACAACCGGCCCCAGCTCGAAAATCGGGGACTGGGATGTGACACGGCAAAAAATCGACTCGTCATGTGGTACAAATACCGTTTTTCGATCGCACAATTTATATTATTTTGAAATATGTGAGATTTTCAATAACAGTCGTTATATTGTAAAGCGCTCTTGACTCTAGGCTACGAGATGTGATGTGAAATTGTATTTGGGTTCAGAGGATGATTATAGTGAACTCCTCTGATGTAGTCAACACCGATTGTGACTAGGCCCGTATTGATAACATTTAATAACAGTGTAACTCAATATTTCTTAAGGTAGTACGATCAGGTAGTTTATAGTGACAAATTATTAGTTTAAATGTGGGTTTTTTTCCGCGATCGTGCAATTTATTGAATTTACACAGGCTCACTCGAGTTCTTGACATTAAAGGAATTGCAAAATACCGAACTCAAAGTAATCTATTGATGTATGCAATGTTCTTATAGACAAGGACACACTAGTTGAGACGTGACCCAACGCCATCAAGAGAAAAAAAGAATACATTTTGAAATGCTTTTATTCATATCTACATAGTGTTTACGTTTTCTAAATTTTTCCTAATCTATTTCATGCACATGCGCGTTTGCAGTATTACATAGTAAAAAATCCATAAACCAAGTCCGTATTTCTTATTGTATATATTCATGCATAGCATACACCGTTGTAACAATCACCGGATGCACAACCTCCACAGCCTTTCCTTGCGTTCATCTTTCTCTTCATATTTTTGAATTCGTGCTTGTTCCCATTTCGAAACGCCAACTCCGAGTCATCCGCCTGTATTCAAAAAGCTCACTCACACTCACACTCATCGAGTGTGGCATATGAATTTTGTTAATTCTGGCAAATGAGAAAGTTTTCTTTCAATAGATGGAAAGATATAAGGTAAATCAGTGAAAATCAAGCCCCTTTTCGGCTGGAAATACCGCCATTGAAACGTGATGAGAAGATTAAGATCTCCCACTCAATGGGTTTGAGTGTGAGTGAGCTTTTAGAATACAGGCGATCGACATTCTCATCGTTCATCCACAACCAATTCGGCTTGGCAAGGCTCGCGTGGATCACACACAGCACAAACAACACAACTACGAACTTTATGCAGCTCTTCATATTGTCATCAAACCTCTTTCCAACCAAAGTTACTTCGGTTAACTCGTTCTTTTCTTTCTTTATGGCCCTCTCTCTCTCTCTTCGCCTGGGCTAATACATCTATGGACACGATGAAGTGCATGTTCTATGCTGTGGAGTGCTTATATACCTGCGTCTTTTCACCAGATGTTTCATACGTTAGTTCGTTTAAGGCCGTTTGGAACGGCTGCATCTTCGTGCTCATTATCTAGTCTTGTTCTCTGAGCGTTCGGCGCATGCGAAACACGTTTGAAGCAAGCCTCATAATTAAATGCGTTTGTGTACATGACCCTTAAGTCCTCCAACAACAGAAACCAGGACTTCAGACTATTTGCCTGGTGCACACACGAATATAAGTCTCAAGTCTTTAACACGTTTCCTGATCTCTTGCCAATTCTCCCCTCAGTTGCATTCCGTAATGTCAAATCATCGTAATGTCAAAGTTGTCTACCCAAAATTACCATTTTTACCCTTTTCGGCTTCGCAAGCAGACGTATAAATAGCACACCGCATGACCATAACAAGACGACATATATTTCCAGCTCTTCATAATATTTGACCTAATATTGTCGCTAATTGCTGCGCGTGGTAATCAATATCCATCAAGGAGCCGCTAGTAAGTTTAGTTTTTAACGTCCTTAAACAATACTTGTTGGTTACGACATCAGCTCATACATCTGGGACAGTTGTTGATTTCATATACATGTGAGATATGCCCCCCATGTTTATGTCTAGTTCCCCAGCACAGTTCTCATTGCAAAAATCTAGCTCATTTGAGGAAAAACAGCCAATCAGTGGTCACCACCTCGACAATACTGATTACTGAGTTAGCATTTCCTTGAACTCTTTCTATACGTGCATGTTACTTGAAATTATTTAATAAATGACTTTTCTATTTTCATGCATGCCAACTAGCACATGCATGATAAGCACTGATATAGACTAAGAATGGATAACATCGGCAATAAATAACTGAAGCTAATTCTGGCATTGTCGAATGACCATTAAAATTCAATTTGTTGTTGGAAAGATGTTTTAAAGCTTTTACATTTCTACCGGTTGAGTAGGAAAAAATAAATTGTCCCAGATAATAATTTACTCATAAATAGCTTTTTCCCTTCTGAATTTGCAGGTGAAGACATAAGTGGGCCTATATATCATTACTATAAATGTTCTACTACAATATATGTCGTGTTTGAAACATGATAGAACAAACATTACGATATGAAATTCACATCCTGACTCTTTTGCCCATGATGAATTCAAATATCACCCATATCATTGAATTTCAAATAATATTATTATGCAGATGAAAGTGAGACAATTGATGCATGCAGCAGTGAACATTACTGATTATCGTTCAAGAGATAATTATGAATTAATTTAAACAAGAATTCATTCTTCATGTTGTAGTGTGTACTCTAAATGAATACTTCAAAAAAAGATGGAATACAAAGTATAGCTCACCCTAGGAGGGCCTTCTAGAACTTTCTCTGTCACTCGATGTGCACCAGCTTTAAGTATCCAAGCAAAGTACAGATGAAGATAGTGAAATAAATGCTGAAAACAATTTTGCAAAAGGAAAATGGTACAGTAATTGGCCTAATGTAGCTGTTGATAAAGCATTGGATTCAATGCACTAACAGTAAATAATATAGGTCTATTACATATGTTTGTCTAATAATATATGAAACCCGCATACAGCATAATCTCAAAACAGTGCTACAAGAATATATGTACTGTACTCTGTAGTAAAGTATCTTAGACACCATCATGAGTAATGTACACACATGAGTAATATGTACACCATCATGAGTAATATCTACACCATCATGAGTAATATCTACACCGTCATGAGTAATATCTACACCATCATGAGTAATATCTACACTCATGAGCAATATCTACACCATCATGAGTAATATCTACACCATCATGAGTAATATACACCATCATGAGTAATATCTACACCATCATGAGTAAATCTACACCATCATGAGTAATATCTACACCATCATGAGTTATATCTACACCATCATGAGTAATATCTACACCATCATGAGTAATATCTACACCATCATGAGTAATATGTACACCATCATGAGTTATATCTACACCATCATGAGTAATATCTACACTGTACCTTGTCTTTTGTTAAATCCTGAATTGCGCGAAATGACGCCCTGTGTTGTCGTCGTAAGACATCTAAAAGAAAAATATACATTGATTAGAGACAGACGTTAGAATGCATCTTCGAGTTTAACTTTAAGGACATTTGAACATGTACCCAGTACCTTTACCTTTGAATTCTTAGAAACCCTGAACATGTCCACATCTAAGCAGGCTATACTACATCACAATCTTACCTGAACTGGTAAATCTGTTTCTACTATCCCTGCCTGACCTTTCAAAGCGAGCTGCTTGTTCAGAATTAAAAACCTCTACAGCCTTGAAAAAGAATTAAAGGACCCAATTATCGCGGTTATAACTAATACTCAGACTACAGTGTATACGAGTTGCAGTATGTTCTTTATAGTGGCGAAATAATTTAGCAGGACTTGGCTGGTTTTTTTACTATTTCATTGCAAACCTCCTCTAAGACAAAATTATTGTACCGGTACTTATTATAGGTATAATATATAACTTTGTAAAATCTCTAAAAATAGCAGTAAAGCTTCATCCCAAGACCCAATCACGAAGCAGCCGTGGAAAACAGTAATCTCTGTTATTTTAACTAATCTCTTTAAAATAGGATATTAATAAGGCTAGCATTACAGATAAACAAGATGGTTATGAGATCAGTGGAATCATGAACATATTAGTTGAGCGGAAGAGGAAATACTAACCATTTTTTGAAGTTTGTCAATTATTTCTTTAAAATGTCTACAAAAATATATTTCAATTCCAGGTCAAACATTGTAATTCCTAACTTCTCTGTTTGAATGTGCATTTATACCAAGCAAGATGAGTACAAATTTTCAAAAACGTATTTCCTTACTTGACTAGAAATGACCACGAATTAATAAGGTATATTCGATCCATCATAACAATTAAATGCTGTACCTGGATAAAACACAGGGCAATTTTACTAAACTCAATAGTTTTATGGTCATATCGTGATGACATCAATTTTGCTAAATACGGTGATGTTTTATGCTGTTTAGTTTACCAGTTTTGTTCGTGAATGTTAGTAAAACTGCCAAGTTTGGCTGGGAGTTGTTGTAAATTATGGAAAATAAGCCATGCGAAGTTGACGAAATTTTGTATACTTTTTATTACGACCAAAAGTTTTTAACTAATTCAGTTACACATTTCCGCACGTAATACAAAAGTATACAAAATATTAAATATGCCAACTTCGCATGACTATATTTTCCGTATTTTACAAAATTTCGCAGCCAAACTTTGCATTTGCACTAATTAAGTAAGATCTTTCTAGCTGTGTTGATTTATTTTCTTCTAGTTACTTTGAACAAAAAATTAGTCTAAATAAGCGCAAGTCGTCCATTAGATAAAACCCTCAAACTTTGCGATTTCAGTGCTATACCTACCAACGGCGAAGACCTCTGGCTTGAGAATCTTTAAGATAAACGTGTGACTTAAAACATATCCATTAGCATCCTCTCCGAAAAATATTGGTCCTTCTCGACCAGGACATATTTCACAACTTAGGCTGAAAGAAAAAGACATCCTGGTCCTCAAATTGTATTCTGTTATTCTTCGGTGTTACGTAATGCGTACTAGATCTCTGGGCCAGTTGCTTAAAACCAGTTGGCCTACCCGGGTTAAAGCAAATCTTTACATCAATTTTTTTAATCGCTTGTTACAAAGTTGAATATCTTTTCTCATAAATACTTTTCTGGACCGATAGAAATCATATTTTCTAAAGTTTTAAAACGAACAGTGATTCAGAAGCACATAAACTAAAACACTGGATTAAAATTTAACCCAGGGTTAGCGCTAACCTTAAAAAATCTTAAAGATAAAATTGACTCACGGAGAAAAAACGGTAAATTAACATAACTATTTCTGAATTTTCCTTCAACTTGAAGCTATGGTCTTAATTAAAATTTCTACAGCAAGTTAAGTTTCTAGCTTTGTTTGTTATACAGCTATTATCAAGTATTTCAAAACTTAGAAAACTAAACTCAGAAAAACTAATAGGCAGTACGTGGCTTATAATCATCCCTAGAACTATAAGTAAACTGGAATGCTGACTCATGGAAATCAACTGGAAACCAAGACACTGTAATCACAGTGAGTCATTGTCTTGTCATTGTTCACTGTATGTAATTTGCTTAGCAGCAAATATATGCAATTTATTATAAATTGCTTGCTGTTTGAGGCTGACCCGCACTCAAATGAACGTATTCTTGTGAATGCGTTCAAAATTAATGTTCGAACAAAAGCGCGAACACTTCTCGACAAAAAAGCCTATAAAATTTCGAACACTATTTGAATATGTTTCATCTCTCACAATACAACATGTCTTTTCCTTAAAAAATGTGATTACCTGGAATATGTAACTTAAGCTGTAAGGATGATAAATACCTCCGTACACATGCTTGTCGTACAACAACGTACACATCATGATGGGCTGGATTACGACTGCTGGAATACGAAACACTTGTATGTTTATCCACACTCAAAAAACCTGGATGGTCAGGTGGGATTGATCTGCATGCCTACAAAGGCAATTTGTATTTTATATGAAACATCAAGATAAGCTTCACTTAGCTTAATTCCCTATATGAAAAATACCATACCTCGCACTGGTTGGATTTTGGTTGAGATGATTTTGATGGTGAGACATTAGAAGCACTTGACTGAGATGACCTGCAATGACAGTCCGTCACAAGTCAATAAGCCAGCTAGGATATGCTGGAAATGACTCGCAACATTCTCCCAGGACAAACTATGTTGTATTTTGAGGACAAACTAAGCTGTATTTTGTGTCATTAATTTTCAAAATAATATTATATTTAGTCCAAGCTGTGTTTACCAAATCACTCTGTATATACATATAGTCTGAAACAAAAGTGAATGTCACACAACCCAATCCCACAAATTTAATGAAAAATAACCACACCTTCTACTTGCATCCTTTTGTGTCCCGAGAGAATTACTCACTGGATCATCATGAAAAGCCTAACAATAGAAAGGCATAAATCATCAGTTAGTAAAAACACCATGTGTATTTGTTATATGCAGGGCTTTCTGTTTTAACTTCTATACTTTTTGAAATATGTTGTGTTGTCTGAATATCTAACATACTGTATGAACTAGTTAGTGTTTTTGATGAGAAGAATTTGAAAATGTAAAATTTAGGAAAAATATCATCAGAACCGATCCGCACAAGGGACTTGATTTCCACATTAACACCAAGGACAGCAAAGTTCTAAATTGACATCTTTTTCAGGCAATCACCATAAGTATTGGTTTCCTATTTTAATGCAGGCAAACACTACAAGCATGGCAAGATCGACTGACCCTTAAAAGGTGGGGTCAGTCCATAATGTTAACAAACGCTTTGTTTACATCTTGAATCCATATATATACTTAATATTTCCTAAATATCAAGAACTTTAAGAATATTCTACAAACTTTCAGTTCACTATACTTCTAAATGCATATGAGAGAGTGTGACTACCCACTGTTTATGAGCAGAACCGACTGTAAGTTTGTAATCCTCCTGTAAACAAGCTTGTATTTACTAATAAATTGCCTATTGAACAATAATCAAGTTGTATGATCTACCTAAAAAACTAGCTGTGACACTAGGGATTGAAGATAGTTGATTTAGCTTTTGTAAGATCATGTGACTAGCATCAACCAGGTTGCTTCAAAACATTATAAAATCGTTTGTTTTCTCGAAGCAATATATACTCACGAAGTTATCATAAACCATTAAATATAAGAATCTAATACCTGCGTGCAAAATAACACACTAGGACCATGGATTTCACAAAAATGACAAAGTGCAATGACTGCATTCATACTTCTTTGTTTTTGTATTTGTCGCTATCTGCAAATACTTCATCTAGCGGAAATCTTAGCGTGCAGGGGGTGGGATACCACACGCATAACAATATTCACGTCTGTACCAGTGGTCTGTACCCACTTTTGAAATGTTCACCACACTTACGATTACCTTACCTAATTCTGCCTGTCTACCCGCGTCTCAGTTTAATCTGCGGAGGAGAGTGCAGCTAAATGAAAACCCGGCTTTATTTGGGTGGGCCACTGGGTAAAGCTTGAAGGCGATTGCACAACATTTTGTAATGAGTGGACTAATCTTTTACTTGTAATGAGTGGACTAATCTTTTACTTACTCTGTACGCAGGATTTCCATCCTTGCAAATTACTATTGCATCTAATTTCATTGTTTATTTAGTGAGTAAAATCAAATTAATCAATAGAGCAAAGAAGAAAATACTTCGCTTTGCATTGAATGTAAAGCAGGCCGTGATTCCTAAAAAAAATTGTAGAAGTTAAAATGAATACACGGTACACCCGTCTATTACTATTAAAGGAAGATTTAATTTATCACATTGTGTCTTCTTCTCAAGAAATATTCCTAGAAGTAAACAAAAAAACTCCGTCACTTCAGTAAACGTCCCCAATGACTTGTCTTACAGCGGATTGGAGCTCTCCGTATTTTTGAGCGATGAAGACGTATTTGATGTTGCAACGAATATCCAAAAATCATACGGTATTGCATTAAGAAACAACATCTATGGTCTTGAAAATAGATTGGATGGACAACATCGTATCATCCAATTCCTACTGGAAAGATTTAAAGCTAAAGCTGAGTATATCTTAAGTTGAGTCTTCGATGACCAAGGTTATTTAAAATCTTCAATATACAGTGGCTTCAGCAACAACTCTTTAATTGAAAAGAATATCTTTAATGGCAGCCCAAATTCAAGATCACACCATGACCATGTCGTGTACTTAAAACGATTTGATGGTATGAAATTCCTGGAAAACTATGCAGGTGGCTGGCCCAGTGACTCCAGCGTAGGATCAAAGCAAGAACCGGCAATAATCTTGTCATCGCCCGTAACTATATCGATGATACAGGAATTCTCATGTACACACACATGATAGCTAAACCGGGTGTAACTATTTACAAGGGCCTAAAAAATGTCTTAGTTTATGGCAACCATATCGTTCAGCGGACAAACCAGAGTCATCAAAAAAGCGGTATTTATTACAGCGAGCCACATTTCGCTGGTCTGGATGAAAACGTCACGTATTCTGCGAATGTCTTTGAGATTATTGGTGGGCAAAATCCGCCGACACTGAGAGGATTGTATTTTCCTGAACAATGGAAACCTGGCAGAACACCACGTATACGAAGAAAATTTTTATTATGGTACAACACGGAAGGTGGGAATTCTCTATCGCCATAGACATTATACACCATCTTATTAAACTGGGAACATATCAGCTACTCTAATCGCACCATACCAGAATATGCGACTGCCCAAGTGTAACATACCGACTTATACGCTTAGGAATGTAGGGCAATAATTGTAACTTTGTTCTACAGGGCGTCTCAAATAAAACAAAAAGTAGTGGGTAATTATATTATTAGAATGTCATATATTTTCAGAGTCTCGTATATTCGAATACAACTTAATAGTCATAAGATGAAGGTTACAATGAATCATCAATGTCATATATGTATTAGGAAGCCAGCAGAAAATGAAATGAACGTTTTGTACGCTCGTTAAACCTGATACCAAAATTAATTGATCTTTAGCATATTAGAACTTTTTAATTAGCAGTTTTTAAATGTCTGCATGATCTCTCTGCATTTAGTTTCTAGTTTAACACTTATCACAAGTTTTACCAGAATGTACTTTAAAAGAAATCTATGAAATCAATTATTTTCTTTTTCACATCAGTTTGCTTTGCACAATGTGGGAATATCCTCCCATATTTGAACCAAGTTCCATTTGAACACAATGGCATTTCTCCATTGACCGGGCCAACGACAGTGAAGCCTTTCTCACACTTCAACTCTGCTCTGCTGCCACTTCTATAGATTCGCTGCGGTATATTCGCGTTTGGGACATGACATGGGGCTAAAAAAATAAAAAATATCTTTCTCGAGAATTTCTGCCGTCCTCCAAGCTCATACCAAGGCAAGGCTTACTGACTATTTAGGCGTTAGGGGGGTGTACTGTACGAAACCCAAATACCCGGGGGGTTTTTTCGATACCAATCTACAAAAATTGACATGAAAATTAGACAATATATAGTACTGCCTAAATTCTGTGAATTCCACATTCATCACCCTTTTATTAGAACTGAGCTTCTTTAAGATAGCGAATGGTACTAACAAACGACAATATACCTGGAAGGAAAGATCATGCATAAATATCCAAGCCTCGCTGGCCGAGACTGGCTGTTGTAGGAAGGAATTAAGACTATAGGATAATGCAACCAATTGCAACCTCGTATCCAGGGTTCTATCTTCGCTCCCGGTGCTCTGGGAGCCCTGGGAGGTGATATTGGTATATATATTGTACTCTGATTGACAAAGTAGAATTACAAACCTAGGCACTCTGGAACTTTACTTGACCATTTACCATTTTCCATGCAGAGAGTAGAATTCTCTCCTGACATAACGTAATCGGAACTTTTGCATTTAAACTTTGCTGTCGAACCATATTCATAACCAGACACATTAGCTTGTATCACCTCTGATATAGCAAACCGTTCACAGGAAACAACTACAACATGCCATTAATGAAAAGTAATTTGCGATATGCAATTGACTGGAATGCAATTGAATTATTGAATAACATGAACTCTAAAAGTTTTGCTTCATTAATTTTGTTTCTAAAACAAGCTATAACGATACATGTTATTTGATTTGAGTATGGATTCATGACTTTTATTTTACCGAAAAACAAGAGTTGGCAAAGCAAAATCGCAAACGTTTAAAGCGTGCATATATAAGAATGACCTCGGGAATTGAAACATGTTTTAAATTAAACTTACTTTTACAATTTGGTGTTTTTTCTGACCAATTTCCATACTTGGTACAAGAGATTTGGGAATTTCCAATCAGATTATAACCTTTGTCGCATGAAAAATCGGGCTTCGAACCACATTTGTACTCCCGGTGAGACTAGTTTTGCCATTTGGAATGTTCGATATTGATTTGCAATTGGTTTGGACTTCTGCAGAATTTATAGGTTATTCCGCTATGACGCGGTTTAATTTCAGGGTTAAAGCAGAGCTCCCACAATTCATTTGCATTTGGCAGAACTATATATAATAGGAATAGGTGGGGGGGCAGCGTGGAGGGAACGTCACAGGTAGGTTCGAGAGGGCTTAGAGCCAGACCCTAGAATGTGGTTGCTACATAATAAGTATATAATATATCATTCTTACTCTTGCAAGAAGGTTGTTCGTCCGACCAATTTTGATCTGCGTTACAGACACGATAAGTAACACCGATGAGTTTGTAACATTCGTCGCAGTAAAATGTAACTTTACTTTTAAAATTATAAATTAATCCGTTCTTGCCGCCATTTGCTGGTACGCCAGGGTCGCCACAGTTTTTTGCTATGAAGAATAAAATAAACTTGAAACGGAAAAAAATAAAGGCCCGAAGTTTTCCCGACATTGTCTTTGGGTCTGAAGGGTCCCAGAGAGATTATAAACAATAAAATGCTCTTTCTAGATTGTTTCACAATAGGTAAGGGGATATTTTTACATACGTAAACATTCAAATGACGCGGGCAGTTTCCATGTTTGATTGAGGCACGTCATTACTTGGGAAGATCCCAACTTCATATATCCTGGATTGCATTTAAGAAATATGCGACTGTTATGTTTGGCTCCTTGAGATGGGGTAAACCAAGTTGGATAATAGACTTCAGAATTAGCAGGAAGCTTTGGTGGAGGACACGATACACCTATAGCAATAGAAAGGCTACCATTGTGAAATATTTCAGAGACGTACCAAACTTTTCCGAGACCTGGTAACTGAAAAATTATGACCACCGAAGCGTCAATAATCGACCTTTTAGGCCGAGATGACTTCTGTAACCGTATCCTACGTTTAATAAATCCATAACTAATACATACGATAACATTGCGGTGTCTTCCCGTCCCATGTTCCATCTGCTTGACATGTTATACTGTCTTTTCCCTCGATAAGATATCCAGCATTACAATAATAGTGTAGTACTTCTGATAACCTAAACGTTTCACTCGTGTTTCTGATTGGCTCACGTCGTAAAGTGTTATTTGAGACTCCGGGATCAACACAGTTCTTCCCTGCAAGAAACATTTTATGTAATGTTCCGGGCGCTAGCAAGAGGGCGCCTGAGCCATAGAACAGACTGTGCGTTCAATTCCAATAGGATTTCAATTATTTTCTCTTTTTTCGCCACAGGGTTTTTTGAAAAAGGCAACCTTTTAAGACTTTCTTTCTTGTAATATTGATAAGTGCATCATGAAATGAAGTGCATCAAATGAAATAAAGACAAGTAAATCCAAAGAAAAATCTATTTTTCATTTACCACATTTGGCTTCTTCTCCGTCCCAGGTTCCCATTCCACGACACCTCCTTACACTGGAACCAGAAAGCAGAAATCCTGGATTACATGTGAAGACTGCAGTGTCGTTAAACTTTTGACTCTTAACGACTATCTTTCCATTTGCGAGAGTCCTGGGTTCCAAATGCTTGCATGTCAAACCTTTATATAATTTTAAAACATTAACCACGGCTGAATCAAAATGCATATAGCGCAATGATAACAATTTGTGCAGTGAAAAAATGCGATTATTTTATATATGCACTATATACACATAATTCCAAACCATTACTTTAATAAATACCTCTCTTGATACAGCTATAACCACAGTCTCCGTCACATATACATTCTCTTCTGCCGGAAGAACAACCCCTAAAAGGCGTACATCCTCGTGCACAGTAATTGTTGTCTTCTTTGATCGTCCTTGGACAATATTGACCTGAGGAATACAGAGAATGTTTGGATGAGAAAGATTCAACTCGTGCAGGGTCAGGCTAGTATCATCACGTTTCGTATCACAGGGCTTGACTTAAATTAAATCTTCCTAGATCTTACGAAGAACTTTGCCCACCGTTGAAGGGTAAAGGTAAGGCTACCTCATTATAATCAGGAGAAGTGTGACAGCTTTTATATAAGATTATTTCTTATAAATTATTTCTTTAGCTTAAATATGCCAAAAACCTACGTTCACTACACTCGGCTGGTTTCCCACGCCGTATTTTACATGTGCAGAATACATTATGACCTGGAATTTTAACGTGAACTACACATGTGTAAATGGGAATTTTCACACCGGGAGATCATCGACTTCTTCTTAGGCTTAGCCTTCCCGGCTTTCCGTGATCGGTTAGCCTGCTCGCAGACTGAATTAGCGGGCCGGAAAATTAAAGGGAGAAAATTCACCCCTTAAATTCTCCGGCCCCCTAATTCAGTCTGCGACCAGCCCAGACAAAGACCAGAGCACGAAACAGACTGCGAGGATCAGGATAAATGCGAGAGCCGAGTGAAGCTGTTTTTAAGATTGTAACACAATAGAAAAGAGTAGTTGTAGCTACAGGTGTTTTATTCTGGAATATAAAGAACGCAGATGTCCTTTTTCAGAATAAGTTTTATTTTGGATCCTTCAACAGTTTGCTTCCCGTAGTTACTACCGCATGTCGCATGGTTAGTGTTTTTAATACGCAAATAATTTGTGAAGGGGAGTCAAAGCTACAAACCACAATCTGTAATCAAGTTGCGTAGCTGTATCAATTAACTAAATAACAAATATCACAGAAATATAACAAGTTGAAGCTACCAGAGTCAAAGTAATTCGAGTCCTACACTCAAATAGCATATATAAAACTCAATACGCCTGAGTATTTATAAGCTGTTTCGTCTAGTTCAATCATCATTTTTTATAATGACACTTATGGATTGTTTAAGATAACCAAATATTGATAATTATCCCAAATATTGCAAATGGAACGGTGCGCAGATTTCAATCATCTGATGAAAATGTATTTATTTGCGTCATCTTAACGTCTGAAAAGGATGTTTTACGTTAGTTTCGATACCATCAAAAGTGGCTTACCTTGTACGAGGGTAGGCAATACTACACCGATCAACACAAATGCAATTGATGCAGACATGTCTTGAACTTATCAGAGTTTGACTACGTTTGTTAACAATTTGGATCGTTTTATATAAAATTTTTTGAAATATGATCTTTAGGTACACGAATTCACACGAAGGAGAACTTCCGCATGCCCTCCAATCAATATCTGCTGGCGAAAGCAGCCGAAGGTGACGATTGAGATTGAATTAAGGCCATGTTACACGGTGCAATTTTTCTTGCAACTTGCAATGCAATTCTACTTTGAAGAGATGTATATTAGTGAAGAGTCATCAAAATGTAAGTGTTAAGCGCTGGTCAAACGAGAATGATAGTTGATGAGAGTTGCAACTCTCGCTTGCGTTTGACCGCGAACTCTCATACACTCTCCTGCACTCTCATCAACTCTCATCGACTTTGAACCGGTTCAAATTTTGATGAGAGTTGATGAGAGTTTGGGCGCGTTTGATCGGTCATGAGAGTTGATGAGAGTTGCAAAATCTTGGGCAGAAACAAAAAAATAGCAAAACGAAGTGGAAATCAACTCTCGTTCTCAACTATCATCAACTCTCATACTCGTTTGACCGTCGCATCGAGAGTTTGGAAAACTCTCGTGCGAACTCTCGCTTCTCAACTCTCATCAACTATCATTCTCGTTTGACCAGGGCTTAAGAAACTGAGGTGTTAGAAACGCCATGGAGTGTAATAAAGACAAAAGTTTGGTAGTTGCCAAATTTACATCTCTCAAAAGAAGAATTGCATTGCAAGTTGCAGGAATAATTGCCCCTCATCTTTAAAAATCTAGCGAATTTGCATTCGAAGCCTGTGCGGAGGAAAGAGATTGCACCGTGTGTTAGTCATTAGCCATCCTGGTATAGAGTAACCTGAGCTCGAGTATTCTGCGCAGAAGTCAAAAATCTCTCAAAGAACGGAATTAAAAAAATCTTTGTTAATTCTATCCAGTGGCGTAACGCGACCGCTGGGATTACGCCTACTGGGACCTATTGCTGAGATTACGCCTACAAAAACTCATAACATAAGATTGATAAGCTGCCTATACTATGTCTGTGGATAGTAATTCTATTCTCCACAAATATGTTATAATTTTTTTATGGTAATTTTTGTCGGGGGGTCACTTGACTTGATACCCTGTCGTTACGCCACTGATTCTATCTGACTTGTGTCGTGATAAAGATATCTCCAAAATGAATAAAATAATCTATAATATTATCGATAATTTATATTATTCAAACTGATCCAGATGCAGAATTGAATCAATTGATATCATTTTATCGTGTTAGTCCTCTTTCAATACAAAAACAATAACAAGAATTATGACAATTGTGGCGCGATGGAAGATAAAAAATATTATTTTAAAAATATAAATTGCACGTTTTAAAATAATTTCCGTCCTGGGGCCGGTTGTTCAAAAGCCTGTTAGCTTAACCCAGGGTTAAATTGGTTTCACATCAATTTTTTTAATCGCTTGTTAATGAAGTTGAACATGTTTATTCGTAAATATTTTGTGGATCAATAAAAGTCTTATTTTGTAAAACCTTGAAACAAACAGCGGTGCAGAAGCATATAAACTAAAACAGCGGGGTAAGATTTAACCCAGGGTTAGCGCTAACCCAGCTTTGAACAACCGGCCCCAGGTGTAAAAAATTCTTAATTAGTCATCGCAGAAAACTAAACTATAAGAGTTGATATTTCGAATTACTCTTGCACAATCAAAATATCACGGCAAGCTTGATAAATCACGTTTTGGAGGAATTCCTTTTGGACGTTCTTTTTCCTTCATAAGAGCTTCGAACATCAGGATCCTAAGAAAATTGCATTCATCAAGTTTAGTATTACCAAATACCAATAAACAGCCATTCAGTATTTCAGTTTGCAATTCCCTGCTGACTGAAAGCCTAACATTAGAGGGGACCCCGGTTTCAAACTACGGGTACAGGTACGGTGATATAATTCAATAATCCGTTGTTCACGTGTTCAATGGTACAAATTTGTGATGTACGAATTACGTCATATGAAAAAACTATGTAAACCAAAATTGGCAATGTCAATGACTTGGATATATCTGATAGTCAAATTTCTAAAAGTATACCAGTATCTACGGGAAATTTGACATAGTTTTTAATAATTTTTACTTGTACCACATTTTTAAAATCTTGTAATATTTACATTTAATTGTGATATTCATGCATTCATCTATCTGTTGTCCCTTGCAATTCTTTAACATCACATTTTAAATAAGTTAAAGACATTTTTCAATAAGGTATATTGTATACCAGGACAAGTTTGTACATTGTAACAAATAGATATGTATAAAACCATCCCTTTAAAAATACAATGTAATTACGTGTTCATAGCTTCTCTAAACATAGCTAATCTAGACACTTACTTTTTCAAAATAGATGACTTTTTCCCCAGCATCATATGCAGGAATTCCTCGTATGTAATAGTTCCTAAAAATTTAAAAGTAAGAAGTTATCATAGCTATAAAACTATATTATGTAATAGCGCTGCACTAGCTTGCCACTCTATGTGCTGCACTCAAATTTTACACACATTTAAAACATCTCAATGAAGAAAGGTTTGAGCAGTTGAAAGTATTTAGATCAGTTTAGGTAGACCACTGGGGGACATTTACTTACAGAAAGAAAATGCCATAAACAGTAAGGCTGGATTTTATTTGAGCCCACTAATGTATAGGCTGGCATATCATACAAGGTACCTGAATTTGTAGTATCAACTTCAGCAATCATTTTCTTCAATTCAAGATGCGTCTTTGCTTGTCCAAGTTTTTCCATCATACGTTTCAGCTCCATGATATCTTTAAATTTTTTCATATTATGCACTTAGCATTGTTCAAGGGGTGCAAGTGTCCTACATTTTACAATCATCTTATTCCCCACCTTTCCTACAGACTATAGAAATGTATTTGTGACAAGTGAGGGCCTTTCCAAAATACCCAATGTATCAGATTCCAAATGGAATTGCATACTGTAAATTAAATGATTCACATAATGATTCTTCACCAAATTAGTACATTTCTGATTGTCTTTTAACAAAATTCTATGAACATTTGACATATTTTGACTTTAATTCCAAAAATTGAAAACTTTCACTTTTGAAAAGAGAAACTGTTTATTGTTGATGACCATAAAGGCAGTAGCTATTCTTAGCAACTGGTTGCATTTTTTTTTATTTTTTTTTGACAACTAAGTAGCATTTAACTACAAAACTATAGTTGTAGTTTCTTTAAAAATTAAATTTTATCTGAAACTAAAATGATGAATTACTGACATAATATAAAGGAAAATGAATTATATGGACCCATATGTTACAGACCATAGTTTATTGTGATCTGAACTGAAAAGGAAAATGATTTCGGGCATACAAAGGATTAATATAATTGATAATGCATATAAGAGTATAACAAAGTTAATATCTTTGACCTGATTAGCATAATGTTAACTAAACACGCTTAAAAATGAAATATTTTTATAAAGACCTACCGATGTCGCCGGAATTGTCTTCGTCGAATTCCATAAATTGCTCTAAACGAATATAATTGTTACAATCTCAGTGAGTTGTTACTTGTTATACAAAAAATGACAACAAAAGCAATTATTTCAATAAAGTGTTTTATATTAGAGTGGAGGCCTGCTGATTTCCTGATTGGATCCGCAGCGCGTGTTTATATATAAAGCAGATCGCAATATAAGCAAAATAAACTCACGTTTGTACGAGTTCAAGGTTCCCTCTATGTCTGGCCATTCTTCTTCATCATCATAATCACCAGTGTTAATAAAAGACTGCAAAACGCACATCACAGATTATAATTTTTAACTAGCTTCTATATAATTGCTGTTATGACTAACAACCTGGGTTAGGGAGCAATTGTACGAATGTCCCTTCGCAAAGTTTTAAGGCTAGCCATTTCTAGGCCCTTGCATAATACCATAAGAGTACTAGGTTGTTTGAACGCCCGTAAAATATACTGCTAACGGCGCAAGAAAGCTCGTGACTACGATAAAAATACGTCCTTAAATATCCCGTTAAGGGAGTACGAGCTTCCGTTTGTCTTTAAAATAATAGAATAACAAACGACATTTAGTATAACTTTTGACTTTTCAAAGCCCGCTTACATTAGGAGACATACTAGAGATTATAAAGCTAGACAGTTAAAGTCTGTTAAAGTCATTCTCTACAATAAATTGCTCTTTTGTAACTGCGTCTAGATTTCCGGAAGCAAATCGCAACAACAAGCTTTGATATCTATTACGTTTTACTATAAAACTGATACATACTTTATTTATTTCATCTAAGCTAGTCTCTTGATTGCTTTTCAGGACGCCATACGCTTTTCCGCCTAGTTTATGAAAATAAAGTAACGCGTGAAAACTACTGTATTACAGTGTACACAACACGACATGACTGTGTTTATGATACGTATGCTGTGGAATTTTAGTCAATACTTATCTTAAAATTACTAACAATAGAAACATAAATTTTCTAGATTGACAACGTACTATTTTTGTTTTGACGTATACTGTTCAAGCATAATTAGCTTTACCTTGGTGATTTTTGCCATCCATGATAAATTTCTCCCAATGACTAGACCAATAGTGAAATGCAAAACCTTATATTGCTCGAGAAGAGTAGAAATCTGGGCGGTGCTGTTAGCTCAGCATACCGGAAAACCATGGAAACGGGACCTTAGTTCCTGTGTTTTGCTTTGCCAAAAAAGGCAAATGTTTAATGTAGTGAATTTCGTTTCCCACGGATTTCAAATTCTGAATGATTGCATGTACACGCATTGTTTAACTTGAGATTTAAAAGGGCATTAAATTATTAATCTGGTAAAAAATCGCCTTGATTTCTCCTGCAGGTGTTGCAAAGAAAATGTGACTTCCCCCCCTGGTTCAGAAGACAGGAAATGAGAAAAGACAGAACGAGAAAACGAGACTGTATATAAATATTTATCATATTTTCTATGCACAGCAAATACTGAAGTGAGGAAGGGAAGAAAAATGCTTCAATGCAATTTGTTGTGGTATAACATAAGCGTAAGTGTAAAACTAGCTGTTTTACTATACACAGCCTGGCTGTGTTGCAAGAATTTTTATCCAAAAAAGTATGTAAACTAAGGTGTATTTTCATACAGCAAGTGTTCAATAAATAATGTTGTAATAATATTTTCTGAAAAATGTACACATTAACTTGTATCTCTGGTATGGAAAATAAGTTGTCCATATGGACCAAGGGCATTAATATCTTTTTGGTCAGCATTTCCATATTGGCTGGGATCTCGAAATTCATCTAGCTGCCATTTCTTTGATAGCAGAGACAACACTGTCTGGTCATGTCGGTTCTCCCTGAATGTGGGAAGATTCATCTTGCCCATTTGATTATTCATGTCTGTCAGGATACGAGGATCAGAAGCATAGGCTAACCACTCCATTATGAACTGCAAAGATTTGCAATTTTTTCGAACTATTACAAAAGAAGCAAGACGTTGGTGGGATTCATAAACAGATTTCTCATCCATATCCATTAATATGAATGCATCTCGCTTGGTAAAAACTTTTTCCAAAAAACGAGTGTGGAATAAAACAATTCCTGGGTCTGAATCATAAGACAGCTTCAGTAGTGGTCCAGCATCTCCTATGAGATGAGCACCAGCATCTTGGTACATTAAAAGATCATCCTCAGACATGTTCTCAAGTAATGTCTTAAGTATTATGTAGGCTTCCACAGCCAGTAACCACAACCGCGTTTCTGTCTCAAAATGCCTGAGTAAGCATATTTAAATTTTCCACTAAGAGAGTCTAAGTCATGAACAGTTGTGAAGTCAAAACCACCAGGAAATTTAGCAGATTTGATTGCTTTTACTTTGGATTTTTTGCAGCAGTTGCATGCAAATGTTATAAAATATTTCTTGGCTTTTATATCCTTTGCCTTGGTTCTATTATAATCTGTGACATGCAGAGATTTCAAGTCTTCACGAAATGGTTTTGTCCACCGTTTGGTTATTGTCTTAAGATAATCGAGATTGCCTTTTCTGTGGAATTTCCATCTCGTGCTGTTAGTTTCAAACGGAAGAGGCGCTTTCTCGCCATTATACAGCATATCCGAATGTGTTGTGTCCGCCATATTGCTTTAGACAGACGGCGCGTAACTAAGAAGGGCTCTGGGTATGAGAATGAGTCGTGGTTATTTCTGTGGTTATGAACACAAATTGTGACGCCTCAATAACTGAACTCACGCATGCAATGAGCAGGAAAGATCGAATTCGCACTGCGAAATTGTTGATCGGATGACGCAGGACAGGCACGTCAAAAATGACTAATCATGTGTTATGAAATGAATTGAATTCACTTCAATTCTTTACACCCCGTCTTAAAGCCAATAATTCAAGCCTCGTACCCAGGCGCTTTAATAATAAAATATATAATGTTGCATTCAGTTATTGTATAGAGGTCAGTTGAATAAAGGCGAACGCGTGGGGGTGCTTGGGGTGGATACAATAACTGAATGCAACATTAGATATTTTATTACTAAAGCGCCTGGGTACGAGGCTGCTGTTATTCCCTATTCGTTTGATTAGACAGTCTACTGTTTTTTTCTTCGGTTTGAAGCAAGTTTAGCTATATACACTCTACAGTATCACACTGTGCCATAAAATGGTAAGTATGAGAATGTTAAATACTTTGTTATACTTTATATCCAATATTATTGGATAGACCAATATTAATATCCAATTCGTATTAATATTCATAAGACACAGACACAGTGGGTTTTCTATAATAGTTCTTATTTTTTTGGCTCAGGTTTTCAAAAAAAAGAATTTGAAAGACAATTTAGATAAGTTAATTTTAGCGATGGTGCAGTGCGAGGGTGACAGGACTGAAGGATGGCGAAAGCCTCACGGATTTTGGGGGAAAGTGGCCATTAAATGTGGATACGGAAACACGGATAAAACGCGTAAAGCAATGTATAGGCTTTGGCGAAGAAATGCGTGCAACATAAGGGAAAAGTTTCAAGCCTTTGTAGCATCTACAAATGAAGCCGAGGTAAGATTTCATCCCTGATTTCATGCCGTTTCAGTATATCTTGTAATACGTAATTTCAACATAATATAACATCATTTAGTTTTAACATCATTTATCATAATGAGTTTTGTACTGACATATTTAATATAATATAACAACATAATAAATTTTTAGCATAATTTGTATTTTCAGTCAATTTGAATGGGCAATGAACTACGTTTTGGACAGTTTTGCTAGTTTTACTGTTTTTTCGTTTTCAATTTACCTTATTCTGCGTGTTGTATCAAGATCGTACTCTGTTGTATTCAAGAATGAGCAAAAATATCTTCAAAGTTCATTTGTCAAGAATGTTAAGAAACATGATTTGCGGAGAGATATGGGGTCTTATGAAACTTATCAAGCTGAATTAAGCTCCAGATACAGAAATAGGATATACGCTGTTGTATCGTTCAAGTCTCTGATCACTCTCAGTCGCAACTATATAAAAAACAGTCTACTTTTGTTAGCTAAAAAGTATCCTGTCCTTCAAGCCAGGTCTAAAAGCTATTACAATGCTCATATTTCTTGTATAAAAAGGGAATTTATTGTCAATCATGAAGAAACATTTGATCCAGAACTAAGATTTGTGAATACAAGTAATTGGAAACTGGTGCTAGAAGAAGAATTAATGGTAAATAATGAAAGATCAGATGTTGAACTCTTTTGGAATGCCATTGTTCTACGAGAACAATATGAGCCAAGAGACAAAATGTACATTAATACTTTGTTGTTTCTATTTGATCCTGTTATCATTGATCGGATCTCCATCGTAAAGTTCACGCAGGAATTTATCACCACGTTATGTCAACTTGTTAACTGTGACATTCATATTAATACCACAAGAACATCACATTTACCTGTCCCAACGGAAGATTACTTAAGACAGCCATTTTTATTGAGGATATTTTCATTGTTAAAAGAAATCATCATGGGTTATGCTTGTAGTCGGGTTTCTAGCCAGCGGAAAGATAGCCAATGCAAATTACGATCTAAGCCTTTAATAGTTATGAGAAGTCTATCAGAGGAAGATACTGCTCGGCTGCTAGGATATTGTAGCAAATTTAACTGTTCTTTGACAGCATTATTCATTGCAGCATGGTCCAGTGTTATGTCTGGTCGTGTCAGTAGTAGTAAAGCTTTATGTCATAAAAAACCAATATCTATAGTTGTAGACTATCGACCGTTGATGGAAACTGATTTGTCACAGGCATATATCATTAGCAATTGCAGCTCATCTTTGCAACTTCAGTTATTATCTGATCAAAAGAAAAAATAAGGCATTTTGGATCAAGTGTTAGATATTATGAGGATCTGTTGCAGTCAGTCATAAGGAAAAAGAAACACTTAGATTTGATATGGCTGCATAAGTATCAAAGGGAATGTTTTGGCAGATTTTCACCTTTGGAAATTGCAGACATTGGAAGCTTTTGTTTCAATGAAACATGGCCGTTTTCTCTGCATGATATTTATATTGGTGCAAAAACCACATCAACTGTAAACTTGACTTTATTACTTTTGAATAACAAGTTATATTGTGGAATGCATCTAAACTCACATTTTAGTGGTTGTGCAAATTTGCTAGATGCTTTGTTTGCTAGAATAGTACAGAAAATGTCATTGGGAATTTCACATGGTAGTGATTTGGTTAACACATCAAAGAACGCACACTGGAGCAAAAACTTATGAATGTGATATTTGTAAGAAGAGATTTTCACATGGTAGTAATTTGTTTAGCCATCAAAGAACACACACTGGAGAGAGAGACCATATGAATGTGATTAAGAAGAGAACTTTTCAACTGTTTCCTAAAGTTATCTTAAGTTCTTCTGTGTAAATAGCATTAAATACTGCATTTTATTGATATTTTTGGAATTATTGTACTAATTTTTGATATAAAGCTGGTTAAAATCTTACTGACAATTTTTTTGATGATGAAAGTCTTTGTCTACAAATTCCCCCTTACCTCCCCAGAGAGTATAATCCCCCACCTCCTGAGAGAGTATAGTCCCTTACATCCCCAGAGAGTATAATCCCCCACCTCCCCATAGAGTATAATCCCTTACCCCACCTTGAAAGTCATAGAGAAAAAAAATTACGAAGGAGAATATTGAAGAGTTTTCTTTGCGCGTTAGCGAAACTATGCAGAACTTTAGTTGGATGAGATAGAAAAAATAATCGACAGTATGGACAAACGAATAACTGCAGTTGCCCAAGGTCATGGTCAAAGAATGAAATACTAATATCAGCAGATATATATCAAATTAATTTTTAGATAAACACCACGGAATAATGTGTTATGTAGTTTAATATCCGAAATTTCTTATTTCTCAAGAAAATATTTCTTAAGATAATAGAAAGATTTGTTTTATTTTAAAAAAGTGTTACTAAGACAAGGTGAATATACCTAAAAAAACCAACAACAAAATCAAGGGTGTTTGGTGATATGTATACCGAGACTTAATTAGGCGAAGAATTATTTAACGCGGCAAAAAATCATTTTGTTTTTTCTGGTGTCTTCCTGATGAGTGCAAAAATGTGTAAACATTCTGGGGTCTTCTAGAGAAGTGCAAAGGTGTGCAACATTGTGGGATACGTCTTCCTGGAAGGAGTGCAAAAATGTGTACAACATTCTGGGGTCTTCCTAAGGACGTATATATGCATAAATTTTCGTCCCACGGTAGCGTTGCCATTCTTTGTAATAGATCTTTTTCATAATTACGTCAAACGTGGAAAGTCTGATGCTAGGCGAAATCTCATTGGCTTGTTAGTTTTGTGGAGCCAATCAAATTTCGTGTAACATCAAACTTTTCGCGTTTGACGTCATTATAAGAAAGGTTTTTCGTGCTTGCTTTGATATAGGCAATACACAACACATCCTCAGTCGTAGATTACCTATAATAGGTAATTGTCAAATGCTCTTAGATTACCTATAATGGGTAAGCTAGGTGCACGTTAGTCGCTAGCTAGAGACCCAGGACCCTGCCAGGACCAATAATAATTACGTGTATTCGATATAGAATTACGCGGCGTTTTTTGGGTTTACGCGGGTAACAGTTCACGTTGGTTCTCCTTTCCTGTCGATTACTTGATCTTTAAGGATCTTTCTTTACTTTTTTGGCCTTCGAAAGTGCTTGGAGTTACTCTGAACAAAGCTGATATGGTATGATTTATAAATTTTTATAGAAATAGTCCGCCTTCAAAGTGCATATGTTTATATTTGTACGACTGAAATGACCGAAGGCATTTGCATATACGCAAACAACAATATCAATGAATTAAAAATTTGTAGGCTGGGCGCCCGAAACGATGTGGCAAATGCAACAACGACAATGGTCCAGCAGCAAAGAGATGCCGTATCTGCAAGGAGAGCATAGTCGTTGACATCGAGCAAAACGAAGACAACGAAGAAGATGCCCGGATATTAAATATGGGTAAAACAAACCCAACAAAGCAATTCAATTTGCTAAAGAAACGGGTAAGAAGGAAAGTACAGCTTAGCTAAGTAAGCTAATAGTTGAATATATATGGAAAAGGTTTCTACTCGCTTTTTAATGTTTTATAAAGCAAGTTATAAACGAAAATCCGTGAAATATATATGCAAGCAGTTACATTTCATACAATTTTACAGCAAAAATTACAGAAATGAATAACATGAAATACTAAATTATGTTTTGAATTTTTGTGCAAAATACTGAGTTGTTGCTTTTTTAAATTGTAACAATAGTAACACCAAAATAGTCGGGAAACAGAAATCCTATGTGATTTACTGGCAGTACTGTACCTTGCCAGTGTGAAATGGTCTAGAGTAAACTATTAAAGCAGTGTGCATTGCCACCTAATTCGTTAACATAAGACATTGGCAGCTTTGTTTGCATAGTTTCTGGCTTGTTTTCATTGTCAGATAAATTTTTTATTGTTGAATCAAGTTGCATGTACTTGATTCACATTTTTTTTAGCCCAAGCTGGATTTGAGGCAGTATATGGATTAAGGAGGGGTTAAAGTGGCTTGGTATTCTGAAGTTACTTCGTCCCCTTATTTTATACCCCCTACCTAGGTATCTCAGTAACCATTGTCTGATGGGAAGTGAGTTTTATTCAGGGCGACCAATTAACCCATTAAGTGGCAGAGCTTTCCCCTTGACAAGTAAAATCATCTGGCGTTAGACAAGTAAAAAAACAAGTAGGGCGCACTGGGGTGCATTGCCACTTAATGGGTTAAAAAAGTAAAGTTATGCCACTGCCATAATGTACCTTGGAAGTGCTTGGATACAGTACCTAAGCTTCATCGTTAACAACATCATCATAGGAGATAATGTTTTCAGTTACATCAGAATATTCCCTCAAAACAGAAAAAATATTAATGTTGTATGGCAAATGCATTTCAAGCTAAGATCGGACACCAGATCAATAATCTAAATTAATTAATTTTATAGTATATACATACCTAATTAAGATTTTTCTGTTAAAATGGCATTACATTAAGTTTAACAATTTGTTACTGTTGATTTGGTGATTATTCACAAAAGAACCTAATGTTCTTTTGTGGTCCCAGAAAGTAAAATATTTTTGATGTCTGTCAGTTATAAAAAATGTTACAGTAAATTTGAATATTTTTGGTTGATTGCGGTGCTTTGCACTAATCTGACAGACAATGTTTAAAACTTTATCATCCTAATTATAGCCTAAAAACATTAGATGTCTCCAGGGACGAAGGAATATCGATAATTGGGGGGGGGGCAGGTATTCATATATTCAAGTTCACAGACCGTAAAAACAATTGATTTCAAAAGAAATCAATAATGCAGAACTCGCATATATGAATATCTGCCCCCCCCAATTATTGATATTCCGGCATGCCTGGATGTCTCTTCTTTTCTGCCATATAGACTATTTGTGTTTGTACAATATAACAGACCTTGAGTGTCTAATAGAAGTATAGTCACTGTTTGTTTATTTGTTTGATTTCATATGGCATAAAAAGGATATACTTCCGATAACAAAGAAATAGATTTAAAATGGTCTTTATTGTGCATATATGGGTGCATTTTATAAAGAATAAATATTTTACAAGTAAACTTACCATGTTATGCAATTTAAAATTATTAAATAGCACAGTCAATATTGCAACGAACTAACAAGGAACATGCTATATATATATATATATATATATATATATATATATATATATATATATATATATATATTATATATATATATATATAATATATATATAAATATCTATGTTAGCCCTTCTGCATGCAATAGAGTTTATTCTGGTTGAATAGCTTTTATAGTTTGCAAATTATTAGAATTCAAACAAGTAAAGTTTTTTTGGCACACCCGGTTTACAGACAGTTCTCTCCTGATTATTTCCAGAATGATTTTCTATCAATGTATCTTGCTGGACTAGTGCTTTTTCTAGATTTCAGACTTGTGTTTATTTTGTATAATGACAACAGATTTAATAGACTTATAATAATATGTAGCTTTACCATAATGGGTCTCTCTTTCTATAAAGTTTTTTCTAGCTATACTTATGATTTCAGTCTTCTATATATATCATAGCATGTACAATTTGATCTTTTTAGGACTCGAATATTATTGTTTAATCATTTAGGCAAAAATTCTAAAATGTCGTCATGGTTGGGATATTGTTGTTTTGGCCAGTTACAAACATGTACGTGGTAACAGTTTCGTGACGTTTGGAACTGCTGGACTTGCACAGAGCTTTATTGGAACGGAAGAAAATCAATATCTGACTGGAAAAGCTGTTTTGGATGTCTTCCGTTCGTACGTTAATGGTATGTTTTCGTTATTCTTTTTATTATTTTTTGTAATATTTATCTTAACTAATTAACTTTGTTACTTTTTATTTTGGTAGAGAAGAAAACATTCAAGTCAGATCCACCATCAACTGTCCATTTATCAGGATCCACTGTCCCTCTTTCGATATCTAGTTTGTCTCCTCAAATAGCCTCTCCTCCGATATCCACCGTTTCTCCCCCAACATCCACTATTCCTCCAACATCCACTGTCTCTCCTTTTACATCCACCATTCCTCCTCCAACATCCACAATTCCTCCTCCAACATCCACTATTCCTTTGCCAACATCCACCATTCCTCCTCCAACATCTACAATTCCTCCTCCAACATCCACAATTCCTCCTCCAACATCCACCATTCCTCCTCCAACATCCACAATTCCTCCTCCAACATCCACAATTCCTCCTCCAACACCCACCATTCCTTCTCCAACATCCACCGTTCTTCCTCCAACATCCACAATTCCTCCTCCAACATCCACAATTCCTCCTCCAACATCCACAATTCCTCCTCCAACACCCACCATTCCTTCTCCAACATCCACCGTTCTTCCTCCAACATCCACAATTCCTCCTCCAACATCCACAATTCCTCCTCCAACATCCACAATTCCTCCTCCAACATCCACAATTCCTTCTCCAACATCCACAATTCCTTCTCCAACATCCACAATTCCTCCTCCAACACCCACCATTCCTTCTCTAACATCCACCGTTCTTCCAAAATCCAGCGTCTCTATCAAGATACCCACCCTCCTTTCTCAAACAACTACTATTATCCCTCCAGTATCAACCACCACTTCAGTATCTACTGTTCCTTCGTCGTCCTTGTCAACTAATCTTATACCCACAACCTTAACTTCATCTATGGATATGCCATCAGGTATACCACTGAAGCACGCAAGTGTTTTGGGTTTTTTTGGGTTTTTCTACACGCAGCTTTTGTTGTCTCACATTTTTTTCTTCTTAATCTCCTCACGCACTAACCGTCTTTTTTATCACTACTTAAAGAGCTGAAACTTTATATTATTAAGTTCTTGTATTATTTAATAGATGCTGTTGCCTTATACGCTGAAGGAAATGTTGTGGCAATTGGCACTATCATTGATCTGCCAACTATTCATGGACATCCGATTCCAAAAGGCTGTTCATGTGTTATGTTGTTTTGGGTGCAAGACAACTATCCTGCCCCATGCCCTTTGGGAAGAAAAGACATCACTGAAAACGTTATCTTGCATAAGGATATGTTTTATGCTCTTCCACGACGAATGCTGAAACAGTTCTTGAGATGTAATGACAGATACTTTCTTTCAGCTTTACATTAGGTGACGTACACCACTGCCACAGAATGAAGGCAGACAGAAGGCAGACTGAACCAAAAAAACGTAACCGCTGCCACGCCATGATTCATCATCAAAATGCTGACGCCATGGTCCTAGCCAGTGCGCTTTTGAGAGGCATCCCCCCTGGATGTCTGCCATTTTTAATATTTCCTGGGGGAAATGCCTTTCAAGCGCGCACTGGCTAGGACTAGGCTTAGACACAAGATGCTTGACCTTGAATTACTGGAAGTATAGTACTAAAAATAACTCCAGAAAAGAACAAAAATCACAAGATACAGTGAGTAGAGTGTCAAAAGTTTCTAAAACGTTGTCGAACGTCTTGTGTTTAAGCCTATAATGGGCCAAAAAAGTAGCCAAATAAAGTTGTCGAGCATCTTGTGTCTAAGCCTAACTAGGACCATGGCGTTAGCATTTTTATGACGAATAACGGTTACGCCAAAATCATAGCAAAAACGAGGAAATCGGCCTTCTGTCTGTCTTTATTCTGTACGACTGTGTTGCAATTTCCAAATACCTCCATTTGCAACTAAGTTTAATTGGAAACGTTATAAAATGTGACATCAAATTTGATCTAACTGACATAAACTTTGTAACGTTTCCAATTGGAGCGTTTAGCTTCCAACGACGGTACTTGCTGTCAACTTTATAAATATTGTAGATTGAAATACTAGACAAAAAATCTTTCGACGTTTCGACCTATGGGTCTTAGGACATGCACCCCCCTCTCCTGACGAAGGCCCATAGGTAACCGAAACGTCGAGGAGAAACGTCGAGGAGATTTTTTGTTTATTTTAGGCAGTTTAAAGAAACATTTTGTGCTGTTGTTTTATCAAGAAACTGCCACGCTGCAAACCGGTTATCTTGGACTGAAATATTAGCGAGAAGATGTATCAAATCTACGACGCGAACGTGACATGAAAATTGTTGCTAATATTTGTAATCCAGTTTTATTTTGCTTCACTTGTGTCCCTGGACTTTGTTTATCAACTGGCGACCATAATTTTTTCCTTGTGTGCGGAAACTGCAAGTTGGAATAGGTCCAGTTTTTCTTCACGCCCGCGTCGTACAGTGATAGATTTGGCACATCTTAAACTCACTACTAGTTGGCAAATACGACAATACTGTCAATAGGCAATATTGCTTTATACCGACTTAATCTTTCCATTAAATTACCCGATACGCAAAAAATCTCACGTCACAAAATAGTTTGTAAATATTTCTGGGCAAATTATGAAACATATATACATGCAACGGTGAAGGATTGGATGCTTTATTGGCGAAACATTTTTAAAAATAAACATTTGATTTATTTAAATCAGGACAAATCTGTATTCGATTTACAAACATTGATAGTATTGATTAAACATTAATTATTTTTGTATTTTCCTTGTGGATTATTTATTAATGAGTGTTTTAATATAGCTACAGTTTATTCCAATTAAGATTGTCCTTCCAGTACATTAACGTGCTTAAGATGCACCAAATGTACGACGCCGACATGACATAAAAATTGTTGCTAACGTTTGGAATCCAGTTTTTTTTACTTCACTTATGTCTCTGACTTTGTTTACCAACTGAAAACCATAATTGTTCTCTGTGTAGTGAATTCACTTAATTCACTATTAAAACCTCAGCGCGCAAGGGTTGATGAGTTTTCACCTATTAGGCCCTTGAACCATTCTGTGCGTTCCACTCGAAAAGGTTTTCAAGGTTTATGAATCTAAATATTAAATAGGCAATAATCAATCATCATTGCGCCCCCAGAGTTTAAGGTTTTTGAAAAGACAACATTAATGGTGATTGCCAGATAGTATATACTTCCAACTAAGGTTTCCGTTTTTATAACATAGAAAAAACTATCCTAACACAAAACTAAATCCTAATATACTAACCCAAATCGGGGTTATATTTACCACTATACCATATGACTACAATAGTTCATACCAGTTACGCCCCAAAATTACCCCAAAATAATAAAATTTTTATAAAATAGCGATATTTTATTAAAATCGGGGTTATATTTACCACTATACCATATGACTACAATAGTTCATACCAGTTACGCCATAAAATTACCCCAAAATAATAAAATTTTTATAAAATAGCGATATTTTATTAAAATCGGGGTTATATTTACCACTATACCATATGACTACAATAGTTCATACCAGTTACGCCCCAAAATTACCCCAAAATAATAAAATTTTTATAAAATAGCGATATTTTATTAAAATCGGGGTTATTTACCACTATACCAATGACTACAATAGTTCATACCAGTTACACCCCAAAATTACCCCAAAATAAAAAATTTTATAAAATAGCGATATTTTATTAAAATCGGGGTTATATTTACCACTATACCATATGACTACAATAGTTCATACCAGTTACGCCATAAATTACCCCAAAATAATAAAATTTTATAAAATAGCGATATTTTATAAAATCGGGGTTATATTTACCACTATACCATATGACTACAATAGTTCATACCAGTTACGCCCCAAAATTACCCCAAAATAATAAAATTTTTATAAAATAGCGATATTTTATTAAAATCGGGGTTATATTTACCACTATACCATATGACTACAATAGTTCATACCAGTTACGCCCCAAAATTACCCCAAAATAATAAAATTTTTATAAAATAGCGATATTTTATTAAAATCGGGGTTATATTTACCACTATACCATATGACTACAATAGTTCATACCAGTTACGCCCCAAAATTACCCCAAAATAATAAAATTTTTATAAAATAGCGATATTTTATTAAAATCGGGTTATATTTACCACTATACCATATGACTACAATAGTTCATACCAGTTACGCCAAAATTACCCCAAAATAATAAAATTTTATAAAATAGCGATATTTTATTAAAATCGGGGTTATATTTACCACTATACCATATGACTACAATAGTTCATACCAGTTACGCCCCAAAATTACCCCAAAATAATAAAATTTTTATAAAATAGCGATATTTTATTAAAATCGGGGTTATATTTACCACTATACCATATGACTACAATAGTTCATACCAGTTACACCCCAAAATTACCCCAAAATAATAAATTTTTTATAAAATAGCGATATTTTATTTGACGCTAATAACTAGTCAGCAAAGCCTCATACTTAATCATAATATATCAGTATTACCAGTATCTAGCTATTACAATTTTGCCCGCTACCGGTCGTTAGGGACGGATTCGCTTCCCAGTTATGATGCGAGTGGATCACTCTACCCCCATAAGCAGCCGAGGAATCACAGATACTTCCTCAATTAATTCGTACACTGAATATTGCAACTGGTTAACAGCTGCGTTCAATTACAACCAAGTGGTATAGATACGGTACTAACATGGGTATGACAGATAACACAAACGGGAACGAGTGAGAACTTAACAACGTGGGAGGGGAGGGAACAACATGGGAACACAAAATAACAATAATTTCTAATATTTTTATTTCTAATAATTTTTACAGTAACAAAATACACTACATCAAAACCCTTTATATTAGGAAATTTGAAAATAATGGGGTACAAAGTTACTTAATTTACGTAATTAAATTCTAAAATGTGAATCACATCACAGCAAATGCGTGTTTAGACCAAGGCTTCCAGTCCCCGAGAAGATTTCTCCCGTATTAGCTGCTCAAAGGCAGGGGTATCATGGGGTGCCACCCACTCATTGTCGCTGGATTTAGTCTATTGTTCAATTCTCTTCCTGTGCCTCCTCATCTTCTCCCTCCTCAATTTCATCCTCTTCCTCCTCAAACAAACGATCCACTTCGCCAGTGAAATCCTCATCAAGAAGTAGCTCTTCAAATGTTCCTTCGGCAATGTGTTTGAAGACAATTGTACCTTCTTTCAACCGGGTTTTACTGAAATAAATACCCGCGTTCAAAAGAGCTCTTTGCCCATCTATTGCCTGTTGGTTGGATCGTGTCAGTTTGTATTTTCCCTATATAAAGCATGAAAACATTGAATGAAAGCAACTACATTTAAAAACCACGAATAACAACTACGACAACAACAACAACAACAACCTAAAAAGCAACGTGAAAAACTTAGAGAACAAACACAAAAACAAAAATAGATGAAGACCATAATTGATCATGAGAACGCCCAATCTTATGTTTCAATACCTCATCAGATTGTCCATTATCGGTCTCGCACAAGATGGAATCGTCATCTGGCAAGCAACCTTAACATTAAAACAAATTAATAAAAACTCTCCTGGAAGTCTACACTTTTGCTGATAAGTACCTTCTTCTAACGAATTAAAACGTGAAGAAAGATCTGGAATGATTTTATCTCTGTAATGTTAACTAAAGATAACTCTACGTATTGTACCTCAATATATCTTTTGGACAGACTTATGTGAAGTTTCATAACTTTCTGTTTGTTCCAGTGCATGACATGTTCAGTTATAGTTTCGTCACGACCTACAAAATAAAATCATCTTAATCTCTCCAAAGTGTCACTCTAAGAAGAAAATTTCTTATGGAAAAAGAAACAACTCGAGATATCTACATTTGTAGAGCAAGATATCTTACCTCCAGCATTCATATACTTTGTTGTTGACCCCAATCTCGATATGTAGCTGTTTATTTGCTCCACTTCCTCACCAGTCGTATATGCGCTCCCTTGCTGCCAACGTCCGCCCCATGTCACCTTAAAAAATACAATATTATTAATTGTTTACTTTATTAATAACGGCTACAGTAGTTTCCTTTTCGTATTTGCTCCAACATTCTTGAGATGAAAAATGTTACAATTAAATTTAGGTTACTGTGCAGAATGTTTATTGCTCAATATTGTGCACTAATTACCTGACAAGACCAAATATGCGCTTTTCCATGCATAATAGAAAGTGCAGGTTTCATAAGGAAGGTATCTTGGGGAGAGAGTTCTTTGGGAAGTGACATAAACCATGGCCAATACTTGCACACAACATCCTGCCATAAGAACATGACACCTTGAGGAACCAATCTATTAATCTGCAAGTAATGTGTGTACCCAAATAATTCTCCTCGGTACATATTAAGAGCACTTTGTGCAAGGGCATGTCTGCAGCCAGCTACTACAAGCCCAGTTTCATCTAACTTTGATCGCACATTTGCAGTATTTCTGGCTGCTTTCCAATTTGATGTACCACAATACGAATTACTGGTGTTTTTCTGGAAGAGAAATGTCAAAAAAACTCAAACGTCTAGAACTGGTTAGCTTGTATTGACACAATGTGTTGTGATTATAATAAATACTGTGTAAGAAACATATACTGTAACATACCTTTGACGATGCTGATGCATAAACAATATCTAGATGAGCTTCAACAGCATCATATTCCTCCACAAAAACGTTACCGTAATAACATTTTCGCTCACCTCTGCAAAAATAGAAAGGTAGTAATCTTGAGTGTCTTGTAAATAAACTTAACAGACTAAATTTTTAAACTTGCATTATTAAAATATATACAGATCACTCAATATACAGGTCACAATGACATTTATTTCTGTCCCTGCATATTAATTGAATGTAAAGTCTAAGCATGCACACTTTCTTTGGGATAATGAAACACCAATTTTATAGTACAAGAAGGGAAAAATGTGAAAATTAATATACAGTAATTGTACCTTGGAACACAACTATATCTGTATAGTTTCGCATTTCCATCAACATGACAGGAATGCTGGTTTTTATAGCAACAAGGACATTCCATCCAGTTTCTCCCTTTTAAAACATCAATCTCATGCATGGCAAAACACCATTCCTTAAATGCACGATGAAATACTGTGACATTGATAGTAGATGACTAGAACAAATTATAAAAAGATAAATTTACATTTAGTACTCAAATAATTTATTCAAGATACAAAGATAGAACTTATTGCAATATGTATACTAATGTTCTTGCAGAAGAAACATGAGATTGGCCCTATTCGAGTAGTTCCCCTTGTCTACTCTAAATCTAAGTTAAAAATATTTATCAACATGTCCATAATTATGCTCTTTCAATCTGCTTTCGTAGTACTGAAATTCTCCCCAATTTTACTAATAGACTTGTAATTTTCCAAATACCCCATCACTAGAACCCTGCAGTTTCTTCACTTTCTTGGATAAATCTGAATTACTTTGATTTTGCATTTTTCTACTTCTTTTCACAATAAAAGCTATCACTTCATTGGTAGCAATGTTTGTGTTCAACGCCATGATTAACATGCACAATTTCAATTTATTCAGAATAATTTCTCAAGAAAGTGAAACTTTCCATATAGTCAAATATAAAGCAGTTAAACATACCCTTCCATTGTTGCTTGAAAGATTGCCTAGGGATCTTATGAATGCTGATTCAGATGTTCCAGGCATGTGTTTTCTCACAGAATCCCAGAGCCGAAACAGATCTTGTGAGAATACATGATTGAAATGCTTTGGATTTCCAGGCCAATAACCCTCACTGATGATCTTTTCCAATGATAAAGGTGAATATGCCTTGTCACAGTTACCACAACGATACATACAAAGTGACAAGTCATATCGTCCTAATATTAAAAGAGAAAAAACAACACAAGCTAGATAATGAGTATAATTCAGACCTTGCCATTTGGGGTGAGCAATGTTCTTTTGCATATTTCCAGAATGAATTCAATAAATACACAACTTACCATCTATTGATGTCTATTGTCTTACTGTCAGTACTGCTATGGGTTAATTTATTAATTAAAAAATAGTCATTTAAAATTAGATATTTATTTTACCTCTAGAAGTCACAACAATGCAAGGTTCATCCAAGGGAACCAGAATCAGTGAGCCTTGTTCTTTACACAGCAAGCATGCCTTACATAAAGCAAATGGTGCACATCTCTCTGTTGAGATAAATTGAACAAATAATTAGAAATTCAGTCACAGATAGGGGCAAATTGCACACAGTACATTAAATCTACTTTTTAATATATACATGTACTGTTTGTACTTTCTAACAGATCTTAGAGGTGTTTACACTGCATAGTCAACCCACAGAAACATTAGGATGTTGTTCCTAGATGTTTCCACATTCCACTGCATTTTATTGTTTGGCACTGCCCTGACGTAAGTACAGTACCTCTAAGGTCTATTACAAATTCATCTTGGTAAGATCACCTGGCTTTAGACATACTAAAATGCTAAAGTTAACACATTGGGGCACCATGAATGTTAATCGTATATTTACCATAGTCAATTGTTGAATCAAAATATAAATTAGATACCGGTAGCCAATTATTAAACTGCAATGTGCCCCAGGATGTCCTTCTTTTCTATTTTTTCTCTGATAATTCAAAATTAATTTACAGTACTTATCTTGTTATTGTTGAGCAGTGAAGAAATAATTCTGTATACAATAATTCGATGTGACTTACTAACAAATCCCAAGGAACCATCTTCTGAAACAATTGTTGTAGGAGGTATTTCCTGAAAAAATCCATTCACCCACACATCACGGTCGTGCAAGGGATTTGTTTCATGAACCTTCTCATCACAGGCAGAACATAACAACACCCTTGGTCCACATTCATGGCATCTTACAACTGCACACCCTTCATTGCATAAAAAGCAGATGTTATCTGGTGAGGGTACAGCATGGCTTTTGAGTAGAGCATCAAATATTGCTGATCTGCTACTTTCCCAGTTTTCTTCTACCGACAACATTCTTTTTGTCCATTCCGACTGACTGCTTGACTTAATTTCTTCGCTTATTTGGCTGCATGTCTCTATGCAGTTACTGAGACTCTCTAACGTAAAATTATATAAAGTTAAGACCAGATAGATTATATCACATCTACCACTTGTCGTTGTCACGACAACAAGCAAAACATGTAAATGCTAAATAGAAACCAAGCTTAAATACTTCTAACCTGTTGTTGTCGATCTGCTGCCCGACATTTCTGCCATATATAATTCATCATCTGAATCCAACATGCCATATTCAGATTCAGTCATCAAGTCGCCTGGAAAGTCAAAGGAACACGATCGTCACATGTATAAAGCGCAGACACATTTCTACGTACGTTTAATAAATCCTGGTTACACTATAAAGACTATAAATCATGTTTAATTCACCTTCAATCTGACTAGATGCAGCACCTTGTTTTGAATGGCGTTCAGCCGGCGATCGATATTTATATTTGTTCGATGGAACCCTTTTACCAGAACCATCATATGTATTCAAAAACGTACTCAATTTTTTAGAACTAGATGTCTTTAAATTCTTGCCAACTCTGTGTAATTCTTCAAGACTTGCTTCCAAACTTTGTTTGTTTTTACGACGCTTTCCTCCCCATTTAGCAGTCGCCATATTGAAACGTGTTGTGTCGGTTGTATGTAATGTATGGTCCTGGGTTCTAGCTAGCGACTAACGTGCACCTAGCTTACCCATTATAGGTAATCTAAGAGCATTTGACAATTACCTATTATAGGTAATCTACGACTGAGGATGTGTTGATTTAGACCGGTTCCGACCACGTACCGCTGACCAAAGGCACAGGCGAAAATCTCGAGTATCGTTTGCATTTCCTCAACTATCGCACACAGCAGCAAAACTCTCGACAATCGTATACGTTTCTCGACTTACAATAACAATTCTCGACAGTCGTTTACACTTTTCTCGACTATAGTATACATTTCTCATATATTGCATGCAGTTCTCGTTTATCGCGTACACATCTCGACCTGCTTTTGTCCAGTTTGGCTTGCCATATTCTAGTTGACTTAAAAACCAAATCATGCAAAGATCCATATAACCTTTTCGAAAAATTAGTAGCAGGGGGCCATAACCCTTGCATGGTTATATGGCGCACAGGTAAGTCTGCTAAAATCCGGTGCCGGGAATAAGCCTTTTGGGTATAGTTGGGAATTTTTCTGAGCGCTTTGTTAGTCTCAAAACCGGCCCATAAAAACTATTTTTGGCGTCAAGCTAACATAGGGATGTTTGTCAGGAGTTAGCGTTCGTTAGGAGTTCCAAACTTGCAGTCATTGTGACCGTTCATGTACTTGTATGGTACGCCAGCATAATACGCCTGTATTACGTTGTTGAGATTACGCATCAGAAAAATCGTAAATAGGGATTATAGATTTATTATATAAAAATAATAACAAAAAGAAACTCGTCGGTCTGCTTTGCATTGTCTATCCCAGAGATAGTGAAACGATGCTACAATCATGGAAATTAATTCGTAGACTTCTCTACTACATAATAAAATACCCCCCTTCCCCCTTGAACAATGTTGGAAGGTGCGTGATATCACATTGGGATGTCTTTTCGATCAACATTGTGCGTTAGGGGGAAGGGGGGAGCAGCTATTGACCGTTAAATCAACATCTTTAACAATTACTGTGGTCATGTAGCGTGTCCAACGAAAAGTCTACCTATATTATTTCCATGATTGTAGTACAAAGGAGAGAAGATTCGTGAAAGGGCATTTGTATAGCGGGTCCATGGTTTTAACGACTTCTGAGCTCTGACCTCTGAATCAGAAATTTTGACGAGTGCTTCGACTTTTGCCAGTCTAAAACTGAGTAAGAAAGCGTTGTTAAGTCCAATACATTTACACAGTCCTCATAAAATTTGACAGGTCTATTTTGCCGACGGACATTTCGTCTAACGGACTCTTTACAGAAAAGACATTTTGCGAACAGACGATTTGCCGAATATTGCGATACTTTTCATTGTGAACACCCACGTTGTTTGTCAAATGCTTGGGTCATTAACGGTCATTAGCGGTGCATAACCATAACGAAAATTTGTTTGTGTAGCGGATGACTCATCTCTTTGGAATGTGTTTTTAAGAGTTGCATAAGAGTTGACAAGCGAGAGTTTACATGGGAGTTTCATCAATTATCATTACTTGATTAAACGCCAAGAACAAGAATCGTACGACAGTAAACAAATAGGCCGAAGGATATTTGGGGGACGGTTTCATTAATTTGTTCAGTATTTTTTCCCTACTTCACTGTTTTTGACACTGCTCAAAATTGTTTGTTATCGTAGCTAGGGTACGTACGCCTTCGAGGTTTCTCCACGCGCCACTATTTGCTAAACTCGCAAGCATGCAAGTTTCTTTGCAAGAAGGCTCGTTTTGTCGGAAGAATTTATCCATTGTAGAAGTCTTCATGCTTGAAGTCGCTACTGAACTGAAACCTTGAACACAAGATGGACGACAACGACATTCAAGCTCGATATTTCAGGGCCATTCAGACTTATTATTAGTCATTTCAGTATTTTTCCCCATGAAAACACCAGTAATTCACCTAATTTAGCTGCTTAATACGTTTTCGACCTCCGTTTATCACAAAAAAACTTACACCGGCCTTTTGACCAATTTTTTTAGTTTTACGTCATTTCGATTCAAATCGTGTCTCATTAAAACACTCATAGATCGCATTTATGAAATCAATAACACCGAAGTTGGCCTCAATAACGATGTAAAAGAGCTGGTGTTCACTTCTTATAAAAGCAAAAACATTTTCAACTTTAAGGGCGCAATCCCCAGTGATCTAAAATCCCTTGTGGTATACAAATTTACTTGTGCAGGATGTAATTCCTGTTATATTGGTGAAACACACCTCCACTGACAAAAACTCACACGTCTATAAACACCTACAAAACCCCAACTGCAATTCTAACACCCGGTCCTGCTTTTTCTACACTGCTAAAACTTCCTCTCTCAAACTCAAAGAGGCTCTTTATATTCGTAAACACAAACCAGACCTAAACAAACTGGTTCAGCATTTTAATACTATTTTCCACTCATCTCGTCTCACTTAGCATGCGTATTGTATCCTGTTATGTTGTCAATCATGATCATTTTTGTAAATAATCTAGTTATTCATTGAGTATCACCTCGCATGCATATATCATATATCATAAAACTGCTACTAAAATAACCACTTTGTTTTGTAATGCAAATTTGTGCTTGGATCCACCCCTGATTAATATTCTACTTTAACTTTATATCATTCACAATGTGAATATTTAATCTATTTATCCGCACCAAGATGGTACGACCTAAGGCTAAACGTTTTGTATCGTTCAAAAATTTGCTCGAAATAATGCTAGTGGCTAAGGAACAGAAAATTGGGGAGGGATGGAGAAGGCCAGAAGGGTACTGGGGTACCATCTTAACAAAATGTGGAATAAGAAATACAGCTTCAAGAAGGAAGCATCTTTATCGCAGTTGGCGAAGGAACACAGATGGTTTCAAGGACAAGTTCCTTGAAAGGAAAGAGGTACCATGTCTTATTTTTTTAATAATTATAAGTTCATGTAAAAATACCATGACCAGCCGACAGTTTAAAAAAGTAAAGTAAGAAACAAATTCCGAATAAGCAAGACATCTTGAGCAACAAATTATGAAACAAACAAGACACAAGGTTGAGATTGTAAATTTTCGACTTTATTCCAAAGTATTCCAAATTTTACCGTTTTGGAAAGAAATCTTTGTATTTTAGTTAGACAAGATTTTAGTAGAAAATCACCACAGTTTCCGAGATAAGGTATACGGATCCAGATTTTAGGCAATAAATTACGAAGTGGCTATTCGTACTGGAACAGTACGCCGAGTGTGATTTGCTATTCGTACTGCATTCGAAATGTTTCTTTCAATTGTCGCAATAATAAAGGTTTTTATCGACTCTTGTAATCGTACCTTTATAAAGGGACAGTAAGCGATTGCAACAAACGTTATTTTCGTATCGGAGATCGATGTTTGAATCCTCGGCATACCGTACGGCGCACGGCCGAATGAGACTTGTAAAATTTTTCATATTTTTGTTTTTATTCGTGTGGGCACACGCGGGCGCGCGAGCGGGTAGTGTTAAGGCCGACAGGCCACACAAACCGAGAGTTTTTCATTTACCAGAAGTATTACTATCACTATCTCAAACTATGCGGTTGGTGCTGGTTTCGGTTTGAATCCGTTTGACTATATGGGGGATATTCCGTTTATATAATTCGGTTTTGTTCTGTCACATTATGATGCAAAGCAAAGTTTCCGAACATGATGCAGTGTTACAGCGGTCTTTATGACCGGTTTGCAGGGCTTTCCCCACGAAATTGAGACTTGTGATTGGTCAAATCTCACGTTGCCATAGAAGCAAACTTTTTTGACCGGTCTGCGGGCAAATTTTAGGGGTTTTGCCACAGTAGCGGGCAGGCCGGCTATGCGAGGCCTTCGATGATTGGTTACTCTCAAATACTTGTAAGGATTTTATTGGTTTATTTCTCTGCCCGGTCATGACGCACATGGCTGCATGGTTTTATTATCTTATTACAGCGGAGCTATAGTTAGTATAGTATTTCTATCTTTCCGAAAGTGTTTGTTGACCCTACGGTCTCTACCTGTGTGCAATATTACTTAAAATACATGTCCAAAATGGAAAAGAACGTTTTCTCACAAGCAAAAACTGCCCTTCAAGAGAATAATTTGACAGTTTTGTCGAATTTATTCGAGTCGTATAAGCATAGCTATAAGGAACAAATCAATTCTAAGCCTGTGTGAGCGAATTAAGCGAATTATTGAGTGCTCGTGAGTCGTCTTCGCCGAAATTTCGAAGCGGGATTCTACGTTTACGTCTATTTAATAACGCTGGATTTAAAAGTGGTTAAAGCACGAGTATATGTTTATTTGAAACGAACAATTTACATATGTTCTGTGTGAGTGCGGGTTCTTAAGGCCAAAGGTCATTCGGGCACTTGCATAAAGTGTATAACAATAATGAGTACGTTATAACTAATAAATCTATCCGAAAATTTTTTGATGGGGGTTGTGCGTTAGGCTGAATCCGCCCCTGCGTTTGTTGCAATCGCTTACTGTCCCTTTATAAAGGTACGATTACAAGAGTCGATAAAAACCTTTATTATTGCGACAATTGAAAGAAACATTTCGAATGCAGTACGAATAGCAAATCACACTCGGCGTACTGTTCCAGTACGAATAGCCACTTCGAATAAATTATCATCCGCTTCAAATTTGTTACTATTTAAGACAGGGGCGGTCTAGGATTTTTCGCACGTTAGGGTCTGTTTACATGAGCCCGGTTACCCTAGTTTCAATGAAGCGAGACATCACTTTGAGGTATTGAAAAAAGTCTTTATGAAAGAAAACAGGCAAATGTCATTGTTGGGATAACTACACTTCTGTCAGAATCGAGTTATATGCTCATTTCAATACCTCAAAGTCATCTCACGCTTCGTTGAATCTCGGCTAAGCGAGCTCATGTAAACAGCCCCTTAGTTAAAATTATCGGCAAGCTTGCTGAAAATTGAAATGCAATTACTGTAACGTTCAGTTCGAACATTTTGATACTGCGGTTTATTGAAAGTTCAATTAATTACTCCGGCGTCAGCGACGGAGTTGAAAATTCGCCCCGGTTTTTTTTTTTTTTTTTTTTTTTTTTGTTTTTTTTATTTTTCGTCGTCGCAAGTGTGTAATGGCGCGAAATATACTAGTACTTCAAACGTGTATGTGACCGTATTTATCTACGTCCCAGTCTTATCTCTCAAGAGTTGTGGTGCACAGCTTTGGCTAATTTTCCAATGCGCGATTCGATTTCGCTCGCATGATACGGCAATTCCTTCAAGAGGAACAAATAAACCGTTTTTTTCATGCTGTTCGATTAAGTTTAGATTGAATTGGGGTAAGAATATATTTAATACATGTAGACTCGGTCCTATTTTAATAATATCGCTGCTATTTCGCCGTTTAACAAAATGATGTGGTCGTGTATGGGCGCGTTGACACGTCGCGTAGTTTGCACAGGATCGAAGATTTAATATAACTATATAAGCGCGAATTCCAAAGCCAAAGTGTAAGACGAAGCGAATGTATCATGCGGTTTATTTACATTTTTGAACAATTGAACTTTTATACTGCGATGTGCTTCTGAATTTCGCGATCGAACATTTAGTTTCGCAAGGCATCTAAATGCGAATATGTATGTAAACAATACGCGAACTGTATTGTTTATGTTCAGAAGCTCTATATTGAAAACTGGCACGTGCGCCGGAGTTAACGCCAGAACGGCGTCTTGTTATCATGAAATCGCTGCGCGATGTACGCACATCACCCACTGACCCACTGGCGAGAATTCATGAGTCTTCGTGAGACAGTTCACAGTTGCGAACATGAATGGGAACTAAACAATACAATATTCTATGATTAACGAAGCTTCGCATTATATTTCAATCGATATTGCGACGATGGCCTAAATGCTATATTTAATATATAGAGAATAATACATGGATGCGCGGAAATATGGAATTTATTTCGAGTTGAGAATGATATCGAACGAGTGAGCGGCGCAGGGAACGAGTGAGCAAGCATATAATTTAGTGAGCAAGCATATAATTTAGGCATATGGTAAAACGCGGACTGGACTGGACTAGTAAAACGCGGACTGGACTAAATTAGTAAAACACGGACTAAACTAAATTAGTAAAACACGGACTGGACTAAATTAGTAAAACACGGACTGGACTAAATTAGTAAAACGCGGACTGGACTAAATTAGTAAAACGCGGACTGGACTAAATTAGTAAAACATGGACTGGACTAAATTAGTAAAACACGGACTAAACTAAATTAGTAAAACACGGACTGGACTAAATTAGTAAAACGCGGACTGGACTAAATTAGTAAAACGCGGACTGGACTAAATTAGTAAAACGCGGACTGGACTAAATTAGTAAAACATGGACTGGACTAAATTAGTAAAACGCGGACTGGAATCGATAAAATTTGTTTGCCCCTATAGTTTGCCCCAAAATTTCTCAATGCATGCCAGAAAACTGTTTTACCGAGAGCACTCCGTATGGTTGCGATCGACGTCGACGAAGGACGACGCCACTCGCGCCAATCGCGCCAAAATCGAAAATCTTGGTGCTTGCGTCCATTGTTTAAACATGGAAGCAAGCTTCAAAATTCCGACATTGATAAAAAAGCCCAAACTAGGGTCCAAGGATAGTGCAAAGTTTTCATGCCCTGTAATACCTAAGCAACCAGACGTTTTCCCAACATAAACATTTTGACTTATGCCAGTAAAAATATAATGAACTAGGTTAAACATTAATCAAAAGGAAATTACTCAAAGTACTCAAGTTACGTTGCGGATACTGTCAATATCAAATTATAATTTTAGTTGCCCATGTAAACCGGGCGCGATTTTCCCAATTTAGTCTCTTTTCTTCGTCAAACATCTGTGACTACATTCACTACATTTATATGATGGCAACAATTTATCCGTCATTTCATAAGAATAGCCAAAATAGTTGCGTTGTAAATAATGTAAGTAAACCGCGGTGCATATTATGTCAATGATGTGGATACTTCGACGCGTAAATCGATACAAAACAATATACTTATAATCAATACTGTATACCGCCAAAATGATTTGATTACAGCACAAAATGTCCGTTTTGTATAGAATCATTTATGTACTCTATGCAGAATACCAGGTATCGACTTGCTATCGACATAATATATATTCGTGTAAGAGATCTATCAATACATAAACAACAGACCGTCGTTTCTTCCTAACCTCTTAGCTCTATTTATGGAAGAAATCTTCCAAATTATATTTGTGTTGAATTGAATGCTCGTAATTCATAACATAAGTTCATAAATTGCGTAGATTCTCAAAGAATTGCACGATTTTTACGACCGGAATGTTTTGAAGCAATGCTCGTCGCTCCTCGTTTCTTTACATCGTGAATAATGTTCAAGGCTCCACGCTTCCTTTCCAAAACTTTGGGATACGACTTTTTAAATCTCTTGTAGGGTTAATAATTATAAAATTAAGGAAATTTTATCGACTCCAGTCCGTATTTTACTAATTTAGTCCAGTCCGCGTTTTACTAATTCAGTCCAGTCTGCGTTTTACTAATTTAGTCCAGTCCGCGTTTTTACTAATTTAGTCCAGTCCGTGTTTTACTAATTTAGTCCAGTCCGCGTTTTACTAATTTAGTCCAGTCCGTGTTTTACTAATTTAGTCCAGTCCGCGTTTTACTAATTTAGTCCAGTCCGTGTTTTACTAGTCCAGTCCAGTCCGCGTTTTACCATATGCCTATAATTTAGTGAACAAGCATATAATTTAGTTTAGTTTAGGTTTCCTCCTGTAGTAACACTGGATCAATAAGAGATGATCCTTACTGGACCTCTAGGAAGAACAGTTTAGAACTGATAGAGCTATCCAGTATAAATAAAGATAGTTTAGTTTAGGTTTCCTCCTGTAGTAGCACTGGATCAATAAGAGATGATCCTTACTGGACCTCTAGGAAGAACAGTTTAGACTGACTGATAGAGCTATCCAGTATAAATAAAGATAGTTTAGTTTAGGTTTCCTCCTGTAGTAACACTGGATCAATAAGAGATGATCCTTACTGGACCTCTAGGAAGAACAGTTTAGAACTGATAGAGCTATCCAGTATAAATAAAGATAGTTTAGTTTAGGTTTCCTCCTGTAGTAACACAGGATCAATAAGAGATGATCCTTACTGAACCTTCAGGAAGAACAGTTTAGAACTGATAGAGCTATCCAGTATGAATAAAGTTAGTTTAGTTTAGGTTTCCTCCTGTAGTAACACTGGATCAATAAGAGATGATCCTTACTGACCTCAGGAAGAACAGTTTAGAACTGACAGAGCTATCCAGTATAATAAAGTTAGTTTAGTTTAGGTTTCCTCCTGTAGTAACACTGGATCAATAAGAGATGATCCTTGTTGAACCTCTAGGAAAAACAGTTATACAGTAGTTTAAGGCTAATAAAATGCCTTTCTTGTCTTGTGGCAATCTTCCCCTATTGAAATAATCAAATAGTGACAAATACAATAGTGACATAATTTTCCAACTTCCAAATCTAGAATCAATCCTATGACTCTCCTCCGAACCAGCCACAGAGCTCAATGTTGATGACCCAAAGATTGAAACTACCCTCTGTCAGTGATGACGAACTCTCACAGTTCACCGAATCTGATGGTGGAAGTGTTGCTGGTATCGAAGGAATTCAACCGATAGACGATACACCATCGGAGGTTTCTGAAGACAGCGATGATGATGGTAACCTCGAGTATGTTCAAAATTGGTTTTAGTCCAAAATCTTGCCACTGGAAAGCCAGCTAGAATGTGTTGAAAAACTTTCACAGCTTTTTGTACATGGCTAAATATGCCAACTAAATTGTAACTGGTTACAGAAAACAGGACTAATTAGCATTGAGCAATGAAGTTTCAGTAACTTGATAACAACTATTTATACTAGTTGTTTTTTAATACATTTTTAGACTCTTTTTTTCATCAAATAGAACAAAGCTTGAGAATTATTGTAACCTGGATTATATATGGGAAAAAAGCAGATGTTTTGAATGAAATGGTAACTTGTTCAAAAGTGGTTCTCAAGATGTAATATTCTGATTTCATCCTTAGTTCCGATGCCCCTGATGACCATGAAGATGGTAACAATGACACCCTGGTCTGTGGTGAAGATGATGATGGTAGTATTGAAGAATATGATGATGGCAACAGGAGAATTTCTCATGTTGCTCCTGACATTGATTGTAATATTGATGATGATTGTGATGATGATCATGTTATTGATGATAATGGTGATGATCAAGGAATTATTGATGATCATGATTATCACAATGATACAAAAAAGGTAAGTCTCTTAAACTTGCATTCAAGTATATTTATTAATATGGATGCAGATCGAGAATAATCTAAAACAAACTAGCGAAAAAAGATTGTGTATCTTTCTACCTTTTGTCTTGAATGCGCAGGACCACAATATTTTTCAAATTACTATTAATGATATTTTGTTACAGAATGTTCATCTTGGCCTTGGTGGTCATTCTCAACCTTCATTTGATGATGTCCCAATCAAACCAGGGCTAGGTGAGTAGTTTAGGAATCAATTCCAAATTTAGCTGAAGTTTAAGTGGAAATCAATGATGCATTTTGTTGTTTTTATTCTGTCAGGTGGTCAAACAAGGATCTTTGAAGAACTGTTGAATCAGCAACTGCAGACTGAGGTGAGTGCAGGCTAGAATATGCAATGTAACTGAAGTTGGTTATGTTTAGGTTTTCCCCTGTTGTAACACTAGATCAATAAGAGATGATCCCTACTGGTCTTCTAGGAAGAACAGTTTAGAATTGATAGAGATATCCAGTATAAATAAAGTTAGTTTAGTTTAGGTTTCCTCCTGTAGTAACACAGGATCAATAAGAGATGATCCTTACTGAACCTCAAGGAAGAACAGTTTAGAACTGATAGAGCTATCCAGTATGGATAAAGTTAGTTTAGTTTAGGTTTCCTCCTGTAGTAACACTGGATCAATAAGAGATGATCCTTACTGGACCTCTAGGAAGAACAGTTTAGAACTGACAGAGCTATCCGGTGTAAATAAAGTTAGTTTAGTTTAGGTTTCCTCCTGTAGTAACACTGGATCAATAAGAGATGATCCTTACTGGACCTCTAGGAAAAACAGTTATACAGTAGTTTAAGACTAATAAAATGCCTTTCTTGTCTTGTTTTAGCAACGCAGTCCTAATGAAAACGAACCAGCTCAACCTACCAGAGCTAACAAAGCTGCGAAGAAAACCTTTATTCTTAGAAAGGGAGAAGGGATTGCGAGATTTGGAATGAAACCAAAGATAGTCACAAAACAAGGACAAGCGACAGTGAAAGATAAATGCCTCCAGAACAGTGTCTTGGAAGAAAGGGCGCCGGTCACGCGAAAAACCGCAACAGTGAAGGACTATGCAACGGTTAACCAGTCTCGTTCGCCTGCAGTAGGGGCACAAGCGAGTAAACCTGTCGTCGCCCAGAAACCTGAAGGTACGATTAACCGATGACCAGAAGTTCAATTGTCTTTTCCATGCCATCCAGTCATGATTAAGAGATCAGAATGTTTCATAGTTTGTGAAAACTCGCTGTTCTGCATGTCATCCAGTCATGATTTAGAGATCAGAATGTTTCGTTGTTTGTAAAAATCTTACTGGTCTCCATGCCATCCAGTCATGATTTAGAGTTCAGAATGTTTCATTGTCTTTGAAAATCTTACTGTTCTCAATGTCATCCAGGCTAGATGCATAGATCAGAATCTTCTCAATGTCATCCAGTGAAAAGTCTTTCCATACTTTTAAAGATGACCCCTGCATTTTGCCAATCGTGCACTTCCCCCTAGTTGACTTGAAATTTTTATTCCCCAGGCCCTGTCGCACGAAGAAGCCTTCGACAAGAAAAGCCGTTCTCTCCGAAGAAGTGCATTTTACCACCATACCATCCCGGGGCTCAGGTGTTTATTTGGACGATGCATCAGAGGTGCATTCGGAGAGTAGCTCCGAAGACGAGGGATTGGAGGAAGATATGGCCAGGGAAGGCGAACAAGTCGTCGAGGATTCCTTTCAAAGACAGATGAAGAAATTAGATGACTTAGAAGTCGTGAGTGTTGCGTTGTTTTCGAATGTTCTTGCTCAAGAATTCCAACATTTATGGAAGTAATCTCTTTCATTTAGGTCGAGAAACAAGAACTGAATGAATTTGAGCTGCTTGAAGAAGCTGTGGCAGCCAATTGCTCGCTTTCGTCGAATTCATCCACCGTCCTAAGAATTCTGGGTGCTAAGCAGAAGCAATGCCAAGCTGATGTAAACAACAACATGCTCACTGCTCGTCAATTGTCGAACGTCAAACGCAAAGGTTAGCGAAAGATGACTGTATGAGTGTGTTTGTTGTACAATAGGTCCCTTTGAAAAGGAAGAGATAAAGCTTTTGTTGGGGTGGCGCACCCCCTCGGTAACGGTAAAATGGTGGGGTGGGGCTGTGGACGGCAGGGTACAAATTCTACAATCAAAACTTATTCAAGCATTTAGCATTGACTCAACATTGATTAGGGGGGCGAGGGGGGAATTCGACACAGAAATGTTTATGTTTTGCGTAAAAAACTACAAATCATTTAGAGTGTAGTCAATGGTTTTGGCCAGGATTGGAGGTTCAGATTTGATTTTTCCTACCTTGATTTTCCCCACCTGCGATCTCATCTCGTGCCTACAAATTTGCATGGTTTTTTAGACATCCTGGGACCGGTTGTATTAAGCCCGTTTAGCTTAAACGGTGGATGAAATAACACTCTTACATCACTCTTGAATGAGTCAACTTGAATATTATGCACTGAATATGTAGTTGTAAACAGTATCTTTGTATTAAGGTTAAAAACATTTAGTTTGCTTATTGAATAAAACGATAGACTTGCTTTCTATTTTGAACTTATCCACCGTTTAAGCTAAATGGGCTTGATACAACCGACCTCTGTAGTTTAAATATAACAGTCGTATTTATATTCTGTTTTATAATTACATTTTATAATACTTGTGGTATCGTACAGTGCTGTTAAATTCGTTTTGATCGGCTAATCGTTGATTTGACACAATTATTTCCTATGGTTAAGTCAATTTTAAAGTGGCTCACTTGGTTTTAGTTTATTTTTAAACAAAACCTCCTGTTACACAGGTCATCTTTTTTTCGGAATTTGATCTGTTTCTTTTAACAGCCGTGAATGCAAGGTTTGACTCGTTCCCATCGCTCGAATGACGTTCGTCTATCGAGTCCTGTCGCGATACAAGAGAAGACCCTGGGGAAGAACCCAACAAGTGTTATATTTTGTCCGATTTTCGTCTTTTGATGGATGTGAAGGAGTGAATAAGACACGGATGTTCAAATAAAGGCGCTCATTCATCACAAGATTCATCACTATTCACTCGTTCACATCCATCAAAGGGCAAGGATTGCACCAAATATCACAGTAAAATTCCAAGTGTAAACACGGGCCCAGCGAGGTTTTTGAGACGTCATGCTAAAACATCCATCCATTTCTCTATTGCAGTCATCAGCATTCGTTCTTCGCTCGCGCTCTCCGAAGGCTTCGACGACACGAAAACGTGGAGGAACACGACGTCCTGGATGCAAGTGACGTCACTCATGACGTCATGCATGCGCTGAACACGTCAACCCCGGACGAGAAGAGAAGAAGTGCGCAGGCGCACAACAAGGTGTCGGAGAATACATCTTCCACTCCCCCGACATCTGCACCCGCCACGAAATTGTTCCCTCAATTAAAAGCTCAGAGTAAGGTGAGGTCTCCTAAGGCTTTTGGTCTAATACGTTCAACTAGCTAGTTTTCAAAACCGTTAGCGCATCTGCAAAGGCAGTTTTCCTCTGTAAATAGACCCTTTCCTTTTTAGCATTCAAGCGCGCATTGCGTGACGGTAGTTGTTCACCAAGCAACTTTGATTTGAGTCGCGATATTCCTCTGCTTAGAAGCGATTTTGTTAAGAAAGCCTTGCCGATTCTCTTTGCTTTTTTGTTAAACTAAATCGCTCCCGAAACATGGCGAGATCGCCACTCAGATTGACCTTCATAATCAACTACCGTCACGCATTGCGCGCTTGAAAGTTGAAAAAGGAAAAGGTCTATTTACGGAAACCGCCTTCTTATGTATACTGAATATCTGTAGTTGTCAATAGTTCTACATAATTTTTTTGTCCTTTTCAAGGTCGAAGTTATCTCGAGACATCCTCAGGCACAGGAACTGAAGTCCGCCACCGCCACCGATCAGGTAGTCGGGCTGGACGGGGTGGTTTCGGGTGGAGCGGGCAGTCCTTTGAACCCTGTATCGAGTTCTGGAATGAACGTAGCTTTTCCAGACAAATTTCAAGAGTTGGAAAAAATGATCGAGAAACTTCGAGAAGAGCATAATATGGCCCTTCATAGATTGAGGGAAGAGAGAGAACGGGTATGTGAGGACTGTAGCTTTTTCAGTTTGATCTGACCCAAAAGCGTGTTTGCATATTTCATCCTTATCCAATCAAAATACCTGAATTTTTAATACTTCATGGTACATAATGTACCTTCTCACCGAAAGTGGTCAAAATTTATACATTTTGATTGGGTACTGAGTTTGCTGATTGGTCCAAAATCATATTCCTCCTTTTTACCGAGCACAGTATCCTCCTAAGTTGTCATTCTAGTTTTTTTGTTCCGATAAACTGGATACGCAGCCATTGTGTTTTATATTGAATCAACTTATCGCCTCATTACTTCAGGGTCTTCAAGAATTGCAAAAGGAACGAACGTTGTTTGAAAGCCACAAAAGAGAGGAACTCGACAGACTTGAAAAGCTTAAGACAGAAGAGGAAAAAAGATCAAGGTATGCTGCACTGTAGCAATTGTGCTGTTTACATATTAAAGTCTGTTCACACGAACCAATTTTGTTGGATAAAATTCACTTCTGACGTATGGAATATAGTCGGTTATGATTAAGCAGTAGCGCACTGGCTTCAGTGGATTTGCTGCCCATATACATCGCAACAGACTATAAAACATCCATCAGAAGCGAAATGGATCCAGCAAAATTGGATCGTGTGAACAGACCTTTACTCGGATCACCGAGTTTAAATAAAAAGGTGTGTTTGCTTTATGGAACGTTAACATGGTTTATACCACAAAATTAGTGGGTCCAACACCCCCACCTTCCTCACGAATACCCCGCCGCTATGTTTGCATCATTCGAAGGGAACACACGTTGCAACAATACTTGACTTTCAACACAACTTGTCTTGTGTCTCAGACTTAACACCATGCGACGGGAGCAAAACAATTGCTACAAATGCTACTATCATTATCTTAATATTGACATATATTGTCATATAATTCAGTGCGTTGCAAGTTGCAACAATACAGTTGCAACAACTTAAACCAGCTGCGATAACAATCACAAACTCAGGCAAGTTCATCCAGGCCATGACAGAATACATTTGACCGCTTCCTGTTGCCTCGTGTTGTATGCCAGTTGTTGAAGATGTACCATTGTGACTGCTTGCAACGTCTGACGCCGTGTAAACTAAATCATAGTACAACAACTCGATGGTAAATACCGCAATACAAGCGCATATTGTGATTTTCCAATAACCTGATCGAAATAGTTGTGTGAAATCTGCCCTGTGTGTCTCGGTATCGTGTCCGAAGTCTTGTGTCGCTGAAATCCATTTCAGGCGCCAAATCTTGTAGAATGTTCAAAGCTTTCTGCTCGTCTCCGGCTGCAGGTGAAAATGTGGCGATAACTTGGCAGTCTATAGCCAGGCCTGGCTTTGGCCTAGACCATTTTAGTACGGAGCGTTTACGCTTACATTTCGACAGCCTGACTCTGGCCTAGAATTTCAGCGGTTTGCATATCACAAGTGTTTATTACTTTGGGTAAACTTTACTATACTCTCAACAAATTACAAATTAAAAAAAATGGCGGACCTTCGTATTTTCTTGTTATCAATATATGCTTATTTTTTCCAAAAAAAAACCAGGCTTAGGCCTGGCCTAGGCCACCTGGAATGATGGGCCTAGATTTCCAGGCCTAGGCTAGGCTTAGGCCAGGCCAAAGTGTGTTTACACTACGAAGATCTAGGCTAAAGCCAGTAAAGCCGGTAAAGCCGGTGTAAACACATTAAAAAGTTTTATTCAGCTTGTATTATAATAGAATTTCATTACTTAATATTTTTATTTTTTATTTTATTTCAGACCGCAGAAGACAAACCAACCTGCGATGTTCAAGGTGCCCCCAAAAAGGAATGTAACAAAATCTCGACCTGTGGCCGATGATATTATATGCAAGAAGGCAAGAGATTTTAATTTAATCTTTTAATTTTTTATCTTAAATTTCAATTTTAAAAGCCAATCAGGTCGCTGCTTCGCCATTTGAAGCTAAAACCAGTATCAGGCAAAAGACATCTCGCATCGTTACGCCGAAAAAATTCATGGCAACACAAAAAGTATCGCTAAATTTTTCGTATTTCTAGAGTTGTTTTCAACAAGAAAATGTACCGGGGAGCAATAGATCTTTCCCCTTTTAGCTTTCAAGCGCACAATGCGTGATGGTAGTTGATTATCAAGCAAATTTAAGTCGGGATATCTCTCTGTTTAGAAGCGATTTTGTTTGTTAGAAAACCTTGCTGATTCTTTTTGGTTCTTTTTTAAACAAAATCGCTCTTGAACATGGCGAAAACACAACTCAAATTGACCTGGATAATCAACTACCGTCACGCATTGCGCGCTTAAAAGCTAAAAGGGGAGAGATCTATTAAAGACCTCAAATTTCATTGTTATGATGTTTTTTGTGAGTTATGTTGCATATTTTGCATGTTTTTTGTCGATAGTTTTGATGGTGTACCTGATTAATTTATATTTAGTTGCCAACCTTATCATATTATTATACAAGTATAGCAATTTGTGTTTACGTCACAGACCACAATATTGCAAACTGGTTGGATACCTTTGGGCTACCTAGGGGCAGGGCCGGATTAACGTCGCGCGAGGCCCGTGGCAGAATTTTAGCGCGGAGCCCCCATCCTCCCTTATTAAAACCTTTAAATACAAAAGACACACAAATTTGTTAAATAATTAATTGTTTTTAGTTCTACTGTTATCCATTTTTTGGATGTAATTACGCCGCTTTGGAAATAGATTCTCAGGCGCTGTCTACACGATGCCGGAAGAATTTGAACGCAAAAAAATTTCTCCGTTAAAATATTTATCCGCGTCCACACGTAAACGCAAAAACGATCCGAAAACGCTAAAGTTATTTGATCCCGAATTACACTTTCATGTTTTCCACCCGCGTGTCACAAGCTGGATGTCGAATTCAAAACAAAAATCTACTAAATGAAAGGCAAAATACAAGAATAAGAAATTTGTTTGGAGATTTCACACTAATATAGCAATATATAGTTAAGCATTAGCCACAAAACTTGCAAATAAGCCTTAATTATACGAAACGATTTGATACGTGACGTCGTCGTTTTCAAATTTATCCGGCAAAGCCGTCCACACGTATCCGCTCAGCCGTCGTTTTCAAATTCTTCCACTCTGGAAAGCATTTTCAGATTCTTCCGTTTTCAGTGGGCGAAAAATTTTTTTAAAACCATTTCATTCTCATGATGCGTGTTTTCTATAAAGTATCTCCCCGGAAAATCCGATTTTTCTTGAAATGCGTAAATGCGCATGTGCTATCGGCCTGTTCAATATGCAACAAGTAAGGGGCGACGAAGTGTCGTTTTAAAACATTTCAAATGCGAAAGTCGATTAAATCCTCGCTGAGAATCTTTTGAGTATAATTTTCCCCTATTAATAAGCTAATGCGTCTGTAGTAACTGAACTGAAAACAATTTGAGTCGAAATTTGCTCCATTCGTGTTCAGTGTTTGGTTGTAATTGAACTAGAACTATGTTTCGTTAACTGGTCTCGCTTTATATAATTGATTTCCTGGGACTCTAGATTATTGCGCAAACATTTTTTGGCATATCACGATTTAATATTATACCCTCCTTTGCAGTCATCAAAAAGGCTCTTAGAACCGAAGACTCCAAATTTGAGAACAAAGACAAGATCACGCCCTAACTGTGCCGGAAGATGTCATAAGTTCTGCCAAGAAATGAAACGGTGAGTGTAAAATTGAAGAAATGAAAAAGTGAGTGTAGTACGTACTATGTCCATGACAAAATTAAACTTAATCCAGCGATTTTTAACAGGGGCTTAATTAATTAACAAGGCAAATAATCAAACTTCGTGCAACATCAGACCATAGACAATCCAGAAGACTGGGACTGGAAACGCGAGATAAAAAACCTCGGACATCCGTGATGACAGATGATGTGCCTGTCACCACTCACCTGTCAAATTTTATGAGGACTGTGTAAATGTATTGGACTGTTGACGCCATTCGTTTTACATGAATTATGACGTCAGCTCCGTATATAGCGATATGATTCTGGGCTTTGCTTGACTCGCGTAATGATCTCGTAAAATTTTTAATGCTTTCCTGCCATTTTGAGCATCATCTCTCATGACTAGTGACAAACTCGTATCATCAAGTAGCTGTATTAATTCGGCATAACACTCGCTATTTTTCTCTTCATCTATCTCCTCAGAAGTCGACAAAATAACCTCGTTCAATTTTAGCGTTCGCAGATACCCGAGAAATTAAACGCGTCCTTTTAAACGCGTGGGAGTTTGGGAGAACGAGAAATAATCAGCGGGACAACGAGCCCGTAGGGCGAGTTTTTCCACGTTATTTCGAGTTCTCCCAAACTCCCACAAGTGTTTCTATAACTGCATAGAAACACAGGAAAAACGTTTTCTATTTCTTTTATAATATAACTCGATAAAGCCAGTAAAGCCGGTAAAGCCGGTGTAAACACATTAAAAAGTTTTATTCAGCTTGTATTATAATAGAATTTCATTACTTAATATTTTTATTTTTTATTTTATTTCAGACCGCAGAAGACAAACCAACCTGCGATGTTCAAGGTGCCCCCAAAAAGGAATGTAACAAAATCTCGACCTGTGGCCGATGATATTATATGCAAGAAGGCAAGAGATTTTAATTTAATCTTTTAATTTTTTATCTTAAATTTCAATTTTAAAAGCCAATCAGGTCGCTGCTTCGCCATTTGAAGCTAAAACCAGTATCAGGCAAAAGACATCTCGCATCGTTACGCCGAAAAAATTCATGGCAACACAAAAAGTATCGCTAAATTTTTCGTATTTCTAGAGTTGTTTTCAACAAGAAAATGTACCGGGGAGCAATAGATCTTTCCCCTTTTAGCTTTCAAGCGCACAATGCGTGATGGTAGTTGATTATCAAGCAAATTTAAGTCGGGATATCTCTCTGGCGAAAACACAACTCAAATTGACCTGGATAATCAACTACCGTCACGCATTGCGCGCTTAAAAGCTAAAAGGGGAGAGGTCTATTAAAGACCTCAAATTTCATTGTTATGATGTTTTTTGTGAGTTATGTTGCATATTTTGCATGTTTTTTGTCGATAGTTTTGATGGTGTACCTGATTAATTTATATTTAGTTGCCAACCTTATCATATTATTATACAAGTATAGCAATTTGTGTTTACGTCACAGACCACAATATTGCAAACTGGTTGGATACCTTTGGGCTACCTAGGGGCAGGGCCGGATTAACGTCGCGCGAGGCCCGTGGCAGAATTTTAGCGCGAAGCCCCCATCCTCCCTTATTAAAACCTTTAAATACAAAAGACACACAAATTTGTTAAATAATTAATTGTTTTTAGTTCTACTGTTATCCATTTTTTGGATGTAATTACGCCGCTTTGGAAATAGATTCTCAGGCGCTGTCTACACGATGCCGGAAGAATTTGAACGCAAAAAAATTTCTCCGTTAAAATATTTATCCGCGTCCACACGTAAACGCAAAAACGATCCGAAAACGCTAAAGTTATTTGATCCCGAATTACACTTTCATGTTTTCCACCCGCGTGTCACAAGCTGGATGTCGAATTCAAAACAAAAATCTACTAAATGAAAGGCAAAATACAAGAATAAGAAATTTGTTTGGAGATTTCACACTAATATAGCAATATATAGTTAAGCATTAGCCACAAAACTTGCAAATAAGCCTTAATTATACGAAACGATTTGATACGTGACGTCGTCGTTTTCAAATTTATCCGGCAAAGCCGTCCACACGTATCCGCTCAGCCGTCGTTTTCAAATTCTTCCACTCTGGAAAGCATTTTCAGATTCTTCCGTTTTCAGTGGGCGAAAAATTTTTTTAAAACCATTTCATTCTCATGATGCGTGTTTTCTATAAAGTATCTCCCCGGAAAATCCGATTTTTCTTGAAATGCGTAAATGCGCATGTGCTATCGGCCTGTTCAATATGCAACAAGTAAGGGGCGACGAAGTGTCGTTTTAAAACATTTCAAATGCGAAAGTCGATTAAATCCTCGCTGAGAATCTTTTGAGTATAATTTTCCCCTATTAATAAGCTAATGCGTCTGTAGTAACTGAACTGAAAACAATTTGAGTCGAAATTTGCTCCATTCGTGTTCAGTGTTTGGTTGTAATTGAACTAGAACTATGTTTCGTTAACTGGTCTCGCTTTATATAATTGATTTCCTGGGACTCTAGATTATTGCGCAAACATTTTTTGGCATATCACGATTTAATATTATACCCTCCTTTGCAGTCATCAAAAAGGCTCTTAGAACCGAAGACTCCAAATTTGAGAACAAAGACAAGATCACGCCCTAACTGTGCCGGAAGATGTCATAAGTTCTGCCAAGAAATGAAACGGTGAGTGTAAAATTGAAGAAATGAAAAAGTGAGTGTAGTACGTACTATGTCCATGACAAAATTAAACTTAATCCAACGATTTTTAACAGGGGCTTAATTAATTAACAAGGCAAATAATCAAACTTCGTGCAACATCAGACCATAGACAATCCAGAAGACTGGGACTGGAAACGCGAGATAAAAAACCTCGGACATCCGTGATGACAGATGATGTGCCTGTCACCACTCACCTGTCAAATTTTATGAGGACTGTGTAAATGTATTGGACTGTTGACGCCATTCGTTTTACATGAATTATTTATTTTATTTATTCAACAGAATATTTTACATAAGCTATAAGTTGTTTGCGTTTTTTTTTATATTCCCATCACTCTAGAACACGAGGTCGTCTATTACCCATAATGCAATTACAAATAAAAGCTTATAATATTTTGTGCTACATAAAGTATATGAATATATGTTCAATGAAAACATTTTGTCCAACACCTGAAAACTTTGCACACTTTACACTTTGCGTAATATGTACCTTTAATATCATGGCGACAATAAGTCCATCGCTCAGAGTTTCCTTAGCATTTTTCAAAGCGGTTATAGATTTTTCGGCTCTTATCAAATAGTTCGTTATGGATTCATCGGCGCTCTTCTCCAGTGACGTCAGCTCCGTATATAGCGATATGATTCTGGGCTTTGCTTGACTCGCGTAATGATCTCGTAAAATTTTTAATGCTTTCCTGCCATTTTGAGCATCATCTCTCATGACTAGTGACAAACTCGTATCATCAAGTAGCTGTATTAATTCGGCATAACACTCGCTATTTTTCTCTTCATCTATCTCCTCAGAAGTCGACAAAATAACCTCGTTCAATTTTAGCGTTCGCAGATACCCGAGAAATTAAACGCGTCCTTTTAAACGCGTGGGAGTTTGGGAGAACGAGAAATAATCAGCGGGACAACGAGCCCGTAGGGCGAGTTTTTCCACGTTATTTCGAGTTCTCCCAAACTCCCACAAGTGTTTCTATAACTGCATAGAAACACAGGAAAAACGTTTTCTATTTCTTTTATAATATAACTCGATAAAAAGATTTTGTACAAATATTATAATTCGATTCAATTAGAAATTCTCATTACATCGCTTCGCTTGTCAAGTTCGGCGGGAAAATTCCCGTGTTTCTATACAGTTATAGAAACACGCTTCTCGACCAATCAGCACGCGCGTACTATAAATGTTATATTATAAATGTTAATAATCATATGATATATATGTTAATGTTAATCATCATATGATATATACACTTATCAACAACAAATGATGAAAATGACCATGGCATTTTTACCCAATGACCTTGTTTCTACAAATTTTCCAGCTGATTTAGGCTGACTAACAAAGTAATTTTCAAACATACTAACATGAAACATAGTAAATATTTAACAAAAAAGAAAAGTGAGTGATAGGTACAGTATGTATGGTCATTTGTGCTATTTTTCAGGTTATTTTCAGTTGATTATCATACCGGCACCACTCCTGGATAAAACTTTTGGATTATAATACAATTGTTCTATTCTCAACAGGACAGAATGTGCCATCAACATCACATCCTTCTGAAAACCAAGCATACCTATCATGAGTGATTACACCCAGTTAAATACTGAAACTCTGAGGAAGTTTGTGTCATCTGCAGTGCAAGATTCAGTAACTTTTGGTACTGTTTTTCTTTGAAAAAATTGTTTATTATATTATGGTAAACCTTTAGTGGTATACTATAATGTGCTATCACTGTATCTTACAGGAACTCGAATTAAATAGGTTACAAGCCCCAGTGGTGGCCAGAGGATGTTATTTGGAGAAATCCAAGTAACAAGTCTGCAGCAGGACCAAAAATGAAATCTGCAGAGCTGGCATTGGTTTTGTCTGCATACCGAGATTGGTATGAATCCAATGTGCAACCAGGTGCAGGACCATCACATATACCGCCTCAGGGTAATTCAGTCGAAAATTCTTTCTTTGCTGCAGCGGCTGATAGTAACTTGTTACCAGAGGAGGTAGAGTTAATGGAGAATATTTTGAAAGAAAATGAAGAAAACGTATGTAGCTAAATCAAATTATTGTATAGTCTTACAAGCATGATTTTGTAGAGGAATTTCATTGGTTTTCTATATTATGGTTGAGACTCCCACTAAGATGCCTAGTACTTGCAGTACACCCTCACCTGTGGTTAATCTGTAAGAAATGACTGTTAAATTTTTCCTTATTTTTTGAACTTCATTTGCATTGTTATTTTTTATGATAAATGTTTGAAATTTTGTACAGTAATGATAAATTTAAGTGCCTTTTATTATTCATTATATCTCTAGAGTACGATGAGCTTTTCTGATGAAGAATACTGCAGCAATGTCTTGTCTGTTTGTCAAAAGTTATCCTGGAGGGCTCTTGAGATATGTGCCCCCGTTATAATTGGAAAGATGTGCGGTGACGATGAACCCGCTATACATGAGTCATATCCGCATAACTACATTGGCTTAGAAAGGCTTGATAAAAGGTAATGCCAAGCACAGGGGCAAAAGGCAGTAGGGGCTAGCATTAACAATGTGGAGTGGAAGTTTAAAATCATCTCAAATGAGCTTTTTCCAGACTTTATAGTTTCATTCCACCATTTAATACAATGTTGTGTGAGGATGGAACGGAGTTAGAACCATTCCAAGCGAGTTCTTTTGGTAATTGCTTTTGGTGTACTCTTTCCATACATCTGGCAGGGAATGAAAGCAAACAGAATTTTCTTCGCTTGGCCTCTGCCCTAAACGGGGTGGTTATTGCACAAGACTTTATTGTTAAGGTACTGTGTGATCATCCTTTTTCACGCGGCGAATATAAAAGGGCGTCAGCTTATCACGACAAACGCATAGCACTTCAGAAGAGTTTCATGTACATTGTAGTTGAGATATTTATCATTTTGTGCTTTCAGTGAAGTAATAGACGTTCAGTTTTAATGCATTTGAAAGGTTAATATATTGACAAATATATTATGTAAACTTGACAGAATGACAACAAAATTTGGAACTACATGCGCTCCATGAAAACGGTTTATAATGAGTTTGAAAAACGATCTTGCGTTGGGATGTTGAACATGTTGTTTACATAGGCAGCCCAGACTTTGACTTGCGCGTGTGATACTCGCGCGCGTGTCGCGCTAACGTTGTTTACTTCGTCTATATATATAGACGAAGTAAACAACGTAAGCGCGACACGCGCGCGAGTATCACACGTGCAAGTCAAAGTCTGGGCTGCCTATGGTTGTTTATTATAGATATTTGAACAGTGTATCACGTTTGATGATGCTTTGCAATGGTCGAAAACTGTTTGCAGTACAGAAGACACGTCTGAAACCACAATTATGGAGGTTGTTCATGAAAGTTATGTTTCTGAAGTTAAGGAAACATTCAGAAATTTTAGGGACAGTGGTATGATCACATTCATTTACATCAATTTTGCGTTTTACCAGAGATCTTCTGCCGTTCCCCTTATATGCTAAATTATTCGTGGGCGTAATGACGTACGGAGGTGGCTAAACCAACAAGACATGAATCCTTGACTAGTATAATTTCATTGTTTTATTCATTTTCAGGGCTATTACAGGTGTATTTGGCCTCCAATTATTTAAGAAGACCGATCAGGCAGTTTTGTTTGCTTCCTGGTGCCGACCATTATCGCAGTCGAGTAGAGCCTTTGCAGCGGCAGAATGAGGAAGAGAAGAAAAAAGCAATAGATGTCTTGTGGGTTCCTCTTACTGTTGAGCATGGACAACGTAATCAATACAATCACATTGGAGCAGCACCATATAAATTGTGCATGTTCAACAGTAATATGAACCTACATTTTTCAAATTTAAAATCAGACTTGGCACAATGTGATTTGTGTCAGGAGTGGTATCACGCCTGCTGCCTTGGCCAATCTATACGCCACATCAATAGAATGGAGAGATTTAGTTGTGGCTGTGATGCTTTGCCTGGAGATGCTAATCAAATAACTACAAAAAATGCGTACGTTATATACTGAATTATGGGCAGTTTTTTCACCTTTCTAGGGAAATCTGTAACTAGGTTCTTCACTGCTAATAAATTTTTATCTCTTCAATCTTTAGGGAGATTTACAATGATATGGACATGTTCGAAAGATGTTTATCAAAGAAAGAACTGAAGGTCTTAAGATTTCCAGACATGGACATGTCATTTTGGTAACACACTGAACTATATGATTGTTAATTTTCATTTTCATGTAATTTTTAAGATGATAGCAAAGAACTTTAAGAGGAACGTAATTCCGTACTTGAGGGCAGGAGCTTCTTCTCATGCCATCTCTTCCTCAGAGGACATGAAGATATATCTGAAGTCTCTCGATTATGGGCCCGTCATGTCATCTAATATGGTAACCGAATACTCATTTAGTATTTTCTCTTTTCTGCCAATATATTCTTCATCAAATTCTTCCATTCGTGACCATTGAAAGCAAAGTTTTCATGCTCGTGATGTAATTATAGAAAATAGTGTACAGTACAATTTATTACTACCATATTTTATATATACACAGGTACAATCACTATTTGACGCTTATCTTCCTGTTGTAAATGGAATTCGGATTGAAGATGCTAACACATTCCTTCAAGATGTGCTTCTTCCCGAGGTAATCCATGTTTTTAGAATCTTCCATTTGCCCTTCACTCTCGCTTTTCACATTTGAGTCTCTTTTCTTGAATGCTCTTTGCTCTAACTACAAATAGTTAATGTGTAGTGCAAACATTGATTCGAGCGTGTAACTATTACTATTTTTAGGCTATTGTACAGGTAATCCGCAAGGCAGAGGGTCTAAACTATTTTAGAGCATGGTTGTTCTATGCCAAATGCAAGTTGCATTCCTGTCCGCAATTGAACGTATAAATAAAACTGAGACACTAGGTTATATAGTTAGTTTGTATATACGATATATATAGTATGTATGATGTATTTTGAATGAACGTTTCGAGTTTACATTGTTCGCCTATTGCAGTTCACGATCAATCTCTGATTCCGTGTACGTCCGTTTCATGCACTTTGCCTGTTCACACTACTGATGTTTTTTGTGTGGCACGGATGAAATTCGTACCGCCAGTTTTATCTGTGTTAGCCTTGTACATGCAAATAAGTAACGCAATCATTAATAAAAATGATACAGGTAAATATTTGTATAATATGTGCCTTACCAAAGAATTGGTGCCTATAGTAGCTATAAACGGGCTGATTTTCTCTTTCGCACTTGTGTGGACGGCGTCTAAATGGTGCACCAAACAATGCATTTTACTTTCAAGGGCTGGTTGTAAAACAACCATATTTGGTATTTAAATCGTTAACTCCAATATACTCGATTCGTTTAATACAACAACCCTAAGGTGAACGTGCATGCATGATATTCGATAGCGATTTCCTTGATACGCATATCGAAGTTGTAATTGACTAATTGCATTGAAAATGACATTGTTCGCCTTTTTACTAATCAGTGAACATGAATATATATATATATATAATATATTATATATTATATATATATAATATAATATATATATTATATATATATAATATATATATTATATATATATATAATATATATAATATATATAATATATATATATTATATATGCGCCCCCCCTAATTATCGAAGCCCGTACGCCTATGCGTTGCATTGATAAGAACGTTCACACGATAGAAAAAAGAGGTTTGAAAAGCTTTAAAAATTGTGTCTGGCCATGCAACCATTATATGTTAATGGTGTGAGTTCGATTCTCACGCACAATCTGAGGCTTTTCAGTTCATAGAATTACTGAGTTAGAATGTAGTTTCACAGTTAATCAAAAATACTGTCTAATATCATAAAATATGATTCAGATTTGTCATTTCATTCGAGAAACTGCATACGTTCGTTGAACATTTCAGTGTAAAGGTCTCATCAGCCCATGGTTAATCATTCCAGAATCTGGGTACAGTTAACCATTCGTAAGAATTAAGTCGCAAAGTCCCATTTTTTTAACATATAAGGTTTCTGTTGCAATACTTCGGGTATAAAAACCGTCATTTCATTTCCAGGGTTCACAATGACTGCATCATGTTTACTACATGGTGCACGCGTATCTTGTTACGCATTATACAACTGATACGATAGCGCTCCCTAGGATGAAAGGTAATACGAATGTTAGAAATAATGAGTTAGAATGTAGGTGGGTATAACAGAACGAATCTAATGAATAAAATACGGTAATATGAAGTTGCTTGCATAATGGTAATCACAGTTTCCAATATCCTATTGTTTCAGCATGGAAATTGGCACAGAAACCAAATGCAAGGTTATGCCAACCCAGAATCTGGGTACAGTTAACCATGGTCATCTTTACTGTATTTCGTAAAAAATACTGTCTAATATCATAAAATATGATTCAGATTTGTCATTTCATTCGAGAAACTGCATACGTTCGTTGAACATTTCAGTGTAAAGGTCTCATCAGCCCATGGTTAATCATTCCAGAATCTGGGTACAGTTAACCATTCGTAAGAATTAAGTCGCAAAGTCCCATTTTTTTAACATATAAGGTTTCTGTTGCAATACTTCGGGTATAAAAACCGTCATTTCATTCGAGAAACTAGTTACGTTCGTTGAAAATTTAAGTTCATATATATAGCGGCTAAAGCCCACGTTGTGCGTGAGAATCGAACTCACACCATTATTTAAACGGCTACCCAGACACAACTCTGCAGGCTTCCCAAATGCTTTTGCGAGTGGATGTGTTGCATGGTTTTAGATTTGATACGTCTGTATATATTCTTATTGAGTGACAACTTATGTCAAGTAAATCTAAACAAGATATATTGACTCCTTAAAGAAATCTGTGCCACCAAACTTATAATTCATAGAGGTTATTACGCTATTACGAAAGAGTTTATTACGAAACATTCATATAGCAAGCGGTGGATCAAATGTTACAATCTTAATATACCGTGCATGTGTTTCATCCGAAAAGGAATGCATGCATGGAGATTAATAATGAAAATAATTATACAAGGAGCCCTTTATTTTTGAAGCGTTACGTTTTATACACATTCAACTGACACCTTTACGTCACTATCCTTCTTATTTACATTATTACACTAATTATTAATTCATCTGTTAATATTTCTCATCATAATTTCTCTATTTTTGAACCATAAGTAGAAGCTACAGTGTCTGGAGAAATTTTCGTCGTTCATATAAGAAAGGGGTCCTTTAATTTTTTTCAGTCCAGAGTTGCTTTGTTCGGCAATCTGACTGTTGAGATAGTCATAGTCAGGATAGCAAGAGATATGGTAGGCGCTGGAACAACCTTGATAATGAATAAATACCGTCTATAAAAATACTGCGCGTACACTGTACAATACTATACACGCACATCCTATACAAGCACTAGTCACATGCATAAATTCTCGACATCACGGATACAGTTACTATTTCTTACCTGTGTGATCTGCCCAGTGAAGGCGATCTACTAAAAATTGCGTGTCTTTAAAAAAGGCTGGATCACGATTCAGACAGTAGGAATGCAAATTACAAGCATTATCGTATACAACGACTCTAGGAGCTACAAAAAGAGCGATAAACCATTGTTATTAATAAAAAAGATGCAGGTTAAATATATTTCTTATGACATGACAAGTCAGTTGAGGAAAAGTGAACCTTTTTTTGTAATGTGAGTATGTACTTTGGAATAAATGATAAATATAAATTTCCGGAACTGAGCAATACCACTTTGACTATTTTCTTAAGGATAACCATCACACGTTCACAGTGTTACCTCGTGTAAATCGAGATCGCAAGATTGTAAATGGCATATCTGGGGATTCGTTAGTAGTCATTACGGAGTATCCATAGTTTATACCTGAAAAAATTATCATAAATTTGTTGTGAGAACTAATATCGAGTAGGCTGCTTTATTCTTGTGCGCAGGATATACTGTACAATTTATTCATTCGTTTGATGTGCTTTATATTTCACTTATCACGATTTCATAGTATTAATAACCATTTTACAGTTTTCCATAAACCATAACAAAAAACGATCTCGTCAAAATTATGGCGAATTCTGGTGCTTTTACACCCAAGATATATATATATATATACATATATTCATGTTCACTGATTAGTAAAAAGGCGAACAATGTCATTTTCAATGCAATTAGTCAATTACAACTTCGATATGCGTATCAAGGAAATCGCTATCGAATATCATGCATGCACGTTCACCTTAGGGTTGTTGTATTGTGTTAAGGGTTTTAAAATTGGTTTTCAATTATATGGTATCGCGCGTTAGCAAAAACTAAAAGAATAGTCATTAACAAGATAACTTACCATGCTGACAAAAAATAAGGAATATACCAGGAAGAAGAGTGGGATGTCTTCCAGACTTTTTCGTGCATGGATTCTCAAACGTTTGCTTTCCTTTGTCTGCAGCGTATGTCCCTCTGCCACGAACAGGTTTTAGGGAAGGGAAGTTTGCTAACAGCGAGGAAGGATTTACAACAGAATCATCCTGCGGTGCTTCACAATCTTTGAAAGCATTGTCAGCAATATTGAGCAGGTCGGTCAACAAAGGTATGAATTCTGCAGGTGCAAATGAATCACTTAAAGATGAGAAAATGCCAAATAAAGCAGGACACTTTCTTTGCAACAATTCCATATCACTCGGAAATTCTTTAACAGGCACACTTCTTTTAATTTTGTCACAAACACGTCGTAATTCTTCATCAAGAGGGAGAATAGCACAAATAGGGGTATTACAGGAAATGTCCTTTATGAACTTTGAAATACCGATCGGAAAAGCGGCTTCATTACCATAAATCGCAAGGCACCAGTCCAGAAAATTTGCAAGGGACGGCATAATTCGGATTGAAGTGTATTTAGCTCATTTATATCAATTGCGGATACATCTGTACAAACTCTCTTCAGTGATTTTCTTGTATCCTTCGATTTCACAAAAACTCTGTTACTGTGCCTGGTAAAAAAACAAACAAAACAAATTCAAAGTATGATTTCATTATATTCTTAACATTTTTTTTGCAATTAAATTTTATCAGCTTGATAATACTTATCTTCCATGACCGGATTGTGCCGTTGTAGTAGTGGATGGGATGTGTAGAGTTGAACATAAGTTCTTTCTATATGCCAAGCTTGTACCGTCACATATGATAATTTCGGGATCACTTTTGCACGTTGGGCATTCAAAACCATCTGTGAAATCAATGTCCAGAAGTTGCAAGAACGCATACCATGCTGATCGCCAATGGTTATATTTTAGCGTATCGTTTAAATTGATGTTCAAAGAAGACTCTAGAGACAACGCCCATGACTGGTAATACGTATTCATGGATACACTGTAAACAAAATACATTAAGCTAAATTGATCTACATGTACAAGGCTGCTTGGTAACTTTTTGTCAAACGTTCGGAAGAACACGAGCACTTTTAATCTTCACCAACCAATGATATGATGTGAAGTTTAGTAAGATCAAGCTGGGGTGATGATACAATTCTTAAAATACGCTTTTAAAACGTTAATGTAAATCTAAGATGTGGATTTACCAATCATATTACCTAAAATAACAATTAAACATATCAATGACTAACCCTCCTTTCAAAAACAAGAACATGTATTCCCTTAGAACTTCATAGGATATTAGGTAATTCCCCATGTTCAGTACGGTGTAAGCATAACCATCAAACTTCATATCATTCACGCAATTTTCCCCTGAGCATGGCTGTTTGTAAACTATAAAAAAGACATTAACGATAATACCCTTCTTTCCAAAGACGTCAATCTTGTCTTTATAGTAGCAAATACAAAAAAAGAAACTCGGAAGTTGAAGCTTTTTCTCTTTGAAATTTCTGAGGCAGCCTAATTATGTAATTTCACTGAGAAGAAATAAGAAACCATGTTGCGTATATTCTTGAAACAAATCCAGAAAAATGCCATAAACAATTTTACTTCCTCGATCGCATAGCAACATGCATTAGGCTTAAATTTCCATGTACGCTCATGCTCAAAACAATCAGTTTACATGTATTGGTTTTGATTATTGCTTGCATAAATATTAATAATTTAAACTTAAACTGAAAATTTTGTAAATGATATTAGAATAACAAGATAAAGAACAATTTGTAATCAATACTAGCATACCTAAACAGTCAAAGATTTTCCTCTTTCCGTACAATTTGACAGATTTAATATACCAAGATTCTTTGTCTCTCGGATCTTCATCTCTAAAATTATTCCCACATAACTGACATGGTTCATCATTTAGGGCCGGAAAAGGGGGGAAAAGAGCTAAAAACATCTTTCCTTCATCGTCCATAACTTCCGGGAGAACAGATTCTGGTCCATTTTGGAAAGAGCGACGTTGACAGCCAAAAAGATCGAAGGGTATCTTCCTCGAGGATACTGGAGAAATCAAACTATTCCCGGAATAGCCTGTAGCAACATCCTGTTCCAGAAAGTCGACGAGGAGCTCAGGAATGTCAGGATCATCCATCGGCCATTGCTTTACAAGCATAGCATGTTCACATTGAGATGAGGAACATGGTATACATTTAACCGAGCCATCACGTTGCTTCGCAAGTACACCAATACTGGCCGCGTCGTGCATTGAAATTCCAATTAAACTGTCATTCATCTGAATACCAAACAGGTTTGTGGTACTCTACAGAAATAATTATAAAACGTTACTCAGTCAAGGAAGATACCTTTAATGGCTTTATAATATCATACTGATAATATATAAATAAATAAATAAATACATAATTTGTACAACAGAATTAGATGTAGAAAGAAAACATAAAAATTATTTTAATTACCTTATATGTATGGTCATTCATTGAACTTTCTTCTTCTTGTTCTTCTGGGGTAATTCCATGTTGTGAGTCATAATCCAGAAGTAAGTGACATATTGCTTTTATGTGAATACACACTGAATTACGGAGATCTAAATTAAGTTAAACCAATATTTTGTCTGCAATGCACCACACACAAATGTGAATTCCTCACTAAATCCAGACTAACCATATTCAAAATATCATTATAGAATAAAACTTATTATTAGTGTCATGCAAGGGTGGAGTGGGGGGGGGGTTGGTTTGGAGAAAATGGGTAACTACCATGACATTTTCTGGAAATTATTTGCATTCAGTTTGCTGGGGCATTAAGAAAAAACACTTATACTCACAGATATATAAATATTTATAAAAATGTGTACTCATTTTTACAGATCAGCTTACTGGAAGAGGTAGATATAGGCTGTTTTCACAATCTCAAGGATAAAAATTTTGAACCTATGAGCCTAAACATTACATACCAGGACCTAAACATCACTGAACACCTCTATATCTTACAAATTTACCAATTACCCAACAATGCACCCAGATATACTTTTTCCCTTGACCAATAAAACTATCTGATGCCATGGAGTAGCAACAATTGCCACTCCTTGACATCATATTATTTTATTGCACACCTAAAAATCACCATGTTGATGAACATTGTTAAAAACAGGAGTGAACTATGTTGTGCTGCTGCATCCTGCAAACAGTATTGTTAACAATGTTGTTGAAACTTGTTGAAATATCAATGCTGTTGCAACTTGTCACAACAACATTGCATCAACATTGATGATTCAACAAGCTTCAACAACATTGTTAACAATACTGTTTATAGAGTGCAGCGCAACATTGTTCATCCCTGATGCGACAACCTGATCAATTTTTGGCTGTGTATGTTGTGTACTCACGGGATGGTTCCTGCTGTAATAACTTTGACAATCCAGAGAGCAGTTGACTCCTTCTAGGTGAGCATGAACAGCTGTATAGCCAATCATACTGATTGGTAGGTAGTAGCAGCCAGACACTTCTGTGTACCACAATGAAGTTCATTTCCTTCAGCGCAATAATTGGTAGTTATTTTGTAATTAATTATTATTGCCAGCCATGTAGCAAACTCTCTTATTCTCTAACAGTATATATATTGTAATAACTAATAAGTAAATACAGGTTTAATTATATATCATCCAGTATTGAAATATGAACTATAAGTATTAAGCAAGATAAAGAGTTTTGTTCTCTCAATGAAGATGCTAATGATGCTAATGATGCTAATAAAGCAACACTTGCCTTATTTCATTGCATTGTGCTCTTATCTTTATTCGTTTACTTTCGACGTTAAAGTCGGGCAATACAAATGCGCATTTGGTTACTACAGTTACCATCTCTAACCTAGAAAGCTCAGTAGCATAGGCAATTTCCACATTTGCTTCAGTGTTTTGCGCCAGCGATGAATGACGAGGTTGACAATCAATAATGACTTCTGGCGTTGTATTTTCATCGTACTGATCACATGAAAATTGTGGTTGAGAATCTGAATGACACTCCGACTCCGTCAGGGAAATATTTGTGGAAGATGTAGACCGATCTTCACGAACCATTTGCGAGGTACTTATCCGATGTGGAGCTCGGACTTTTGACTGATCTTTAGCAAGATTTTCTCCAAATATATATTTCCTCTTACCATTTATAACAACAGTTTTCCAAGGCTTCAAACTTTTTCTCTTCGAACTTTCCGCCATCTTGGTTAGGTCCTGCTGCGCCTGCTTGATCACTGGTCTGCGGTAGATGCCAATGCAGGCGATTAATAGACCTTTTTCATAATGACGTCAAACGCGGAAAGTCTGATGTTACACGAAGTTTGATTGGCTCGATAGTTTTGGAGAGCCAATCAAATTTCGTATTAAATCAGACTTTCCGCGTTTGACGTCATTATAAGAAAGGTCTATTTGCATGGTTATGTACCCAGATTCTGAAAACACCGCAATGCATTGTGGACTGCGTGCGTCTCTTTCTTGTCTGTCTATATTAAAGCTTGACATATCATCAGGAAACGAAGGAGAGGAATACTTCGAAAGGATTGCCTTTTTGTGCTAAGAAAGGTTAGTAAATTATTTTTACTGTTGCTTATGCACCAAGTAACAAGAGCACAGGAGCATAGCATTTATTATTAAGCGTATTCTGTGCATTAAATGTTTATTTACATGTGTCGCATGTTTATAATGTTTATAATATGATGCCTAAATTGACTGCCTTTCAATGCTGTACTATGACTTCTTACACTGTCTTACACAATCAGTGGACGGTTCCGGCAATTCTAAAACTGGAAAAATTCCGAATCTGGAAAGCAAAATTTAGAGAAAATCCATCTTTTGACTTATGTACTTCTCATCGACTGCACTAAATACCATACCCTTTTCGATGGAATAAAGCATTTCTGAAATACGTACAATACCCCCACCTTTTTCCGAAAAAAAGGCGATGTTTATCGCTCAAACGCGTCGTTTTCGAACATGATGAAAAAGGGTACCCTTTTTCGTCGATCTTGTTGTTAAGAAGTAAGACGATAAAAGGTACCCACTGAGCTATATAATAATTCCTGGAGGACCGGCTCGTCATTTTTCGGTAACTTCGCCGCCATCTTTTTGAAGCCACCAATATGGCGGATTTCACCCTTCTGCGCAACCGCAGAAGCTCTGCTGACGCCACATGGTTCCTTTTGACCATGGTATTTACCACTGACCAGGCTCAATTCTGAGCCCGCTACAGCAGCCTTCTCCCCCCTGGATTTTGTAAATAACAATTCTCCCCCCTGGTTTTTATATTTTTTTGCCGTGATCATGAAATATTTTTGTTTTTGAAATGTTTTTAGGTTGTTTTTTTGATATTTTTCGCCCTGACATACAATAAAGTTTTATTTTAAGATGAATACAAGTCATACACGCTGTTTTTGCCAGTGCGGGAACAAATATATATTAAAATATGGAAAAATGTGGACAAACTAAAGATTTTAAATACTGACACGAACTGACAGGTTTATTATTTTATTTTCGTAATAATAATTTTTGTTATTTATACTTTCCAACATGAAAGTTTACAAATGTTTGAATGTTTGGCACTATCCTCGCATATTTTGAAGACAACTAGGAATTTATGGGCAACAAATTTGACTTTCTAAACCCTAAACTTAACTGATGAATTGCAGGAAGTATGTAATCAGTATTCAGTATGTGATGTTGTCTTCAAGACTTTATATCTATGCACAATACAAAATCCAAAGTTCAGGCAAAAGCTGGGCAGCTGACTAATACTAAGTGCAGGAATAAAGTTTCAACCAAAAGTCATATTTGCATAATATACTTTTCATTCAAGTCATCAACTTGTACCTTTATAGGCTATAAAAGTTTTCAGCATTCTCTAATTGCATCCCTGGACCCCTGGTCATAGTAAAGAATAACATTTATCCCTCCATAGGCTCCACTGATTAGCCTAATGAATATAGCCCTCTTGGAGGTTGATACCATAAACAGAAAGTTATAAAAGTTGCTGCAGATTGAAAACACACTGCTCAGTCAATGCATGTTTATTTTTATTTCATTCATAAATAAATATGACAAATGGTATAAAAACACCAGCAAACAAAAAAATCAGATAACATGGTAATGAAGAATAACAATGCACAGTCATAAAATGCATGAACTTCATCCTGAAAAATAAAAATGGAGATATGATCAAGATTTATTCACAAGGTGCAAGAAGCTAAAAAATAAATTAAAAGCTGTGATAATTGATCATTTCACTTTGGATTTGACAAGGTAAAAAAGATAATATATTAACTAGGCTTTAACAGGGCTCACTATCAGAGGGTGGAATTAATTTACACTGTTTACAGCATCTTATCATTCTGTATCAGCACCCTCAGATCATGTTAATTGATGTTGGGTGGCATCAATAGAAGTGTGACTATAGTAGACTCACTGGGGAAATGGTTAACCTATTAACATTGATATTTGCTATCATGAAAACAACATAGACCAAACTCAAAAGATTGACAGTGCCAGGAATTTAATTTTTTCCCCACACAAGTTAAGAAAAAATGATAAAATTTGGGTATATAACATTGCACTGACAGCACTGTAATGTACCAAAAGGCGAAAATAGTATCTTTGCTGCTTGTACCACACGTTTTGATGGATTTATTGTCTCAGAGGCTTTGGTAATCAGTTTATACTATATTCCAAACTCGAAAGGCCAAAAAATTTATAGTAAAAAAAGTTGAAAAACGGCTTACCTGGATGTTAAAAAAGATAAAATAAGAGCAAAATGAGAAAATTCACTCTACCGATAGGTGAATTAAGCCATTCACAACGTCAGACGCAGAGCACGAAGCTACGTGTCCTTTCCATTTGTTGAACAGGGAAAAAGAGAAACACTTTTATCCTTTTTATATGAAAAAAAAAAAAAAATATACGGAAAGCTGAAAATATTTTCATAAAAATCGGGAGGGTGATGGACACAGTTTTTCACCTTGTATCGCGGTATGTCAGTGGTAACTACCATGAGCAAAAGGAACCATGTGGCGTCAGCAAAGCTCAAAATCCGCCATCTTAGTGGCTTCACTTTTTTGACAGGAGCCGGTCCTCCAGGAATTATTATATAGCTCAGTGAAGGTACCCTTTTCGGTCTAATACGTCATTACATCGTTCGAATTCAGGGTTGGTAACTTGGCTTTTTTGAAGCCAAATAACTCGATTTTGGCTTTTTTATTTCTTGTTTGGCCTTGAAAAAAATGTTTGGATTTTTGGCTCTATTTTGGCTTTTTTATCAAGTGGCAGGAATTTTCCATATTTTTTAGTGTATTTAAATACGAAAGTTAAATAATGAAGCAACATCTAAGAATTGTGCATCCTTGTCAGAGGATAACATATTTCTATTGTCATCCAATCAGATTTCAGGAAATTCAGCCAATCGTAAAGCTGAAAACTAACCAATGACAAACATTCTAGCTACACTTCGCAGAGGTCCGCCCCTATTTTACATAAATTCAATTAATTGCGGCATCAAAATATTGATAACGGATTTGGCCCTTTTTTGGCTTTTTTAAAAAAAATGAAATTTGGCTTTTTTTAGTACAATTTGGCTTTTTTTAAAATATCATTTGGCTTTGCACATGCGCGGAAGCGTACCAACCCTGCGTTCGATGAAAAAGGGTACCCTTTTCGATGACTTATGACCTTTGTAATAAGATGAAAAAGGTACCCTCTTAGATTGGAATTTGATCTGTTGAATTTAAATAGGATTATATAGAAATCGTGTGAAATATTTATACCATTGATATCAAGGCTGAGTGTATAATTTATTCTCTCTTGTTTTTTATTAAAAATGGCAGGGAAAATATCGAATATATGCTAAAGACAATGTTCAAAATAATTATACATATCAGCAGAATAGCGCATATTAATGAACTGGATTTTCCTGAGGTTAGTCAATGTTCCTCGAAAGAAGCTTCCGGTTCTTATTCTGTTAAGGCTAGCACTCAGAAACTAGACATTTTTAAGGCGACACAGCCGACACTAGAGAATGCATGTGCCGTATACTATACTGTGTCGCACACTATAGAGTGCGCTGTATATAGTATACAGAGTAACTAAAAAAATAATTCTGGCCATGCAGTGATGGAAACAGTCACATTGCATGCGCTACAAAGCCAAAAATACTTCGCTGCCTGTATCTGCATGCAACTATAGTCTATCAACTATAGTCTAGCCATAACATATAATCTAGCCATAACATATGTAGTACGGTATGCCCATTATCATAGTTATTATATCCGTTCGCAAGGGCTATATTAATTTGTGGACAGGCTACACTTATATATATATATCGATCGATTTAAAAAAATTATTATAGACTGTGAAATAATGGTGTCCTCTTGCAATGCCATGATTTAAATAGGAATAGCCGAATGCTTCTACCGAAGGAACTTAACTAGCCTCAGGGAAATCCTGCTTGAAGGTGCCGATAATCTACCGATAGTAATAATTATTTTGGACATAGTCACTCTTTCGCATATACAAGGTGCCCTTCAAAAAAACGCAACCTGCATGCATACATAATTAGTTAGTAAAAGAGTTCTTACATGTTTGGTTTGTTTTGCTTTCACTCATACGTGTCAAAATATATGAAATCCCAGAGGCACAGAAATGTAACAAATACATAAATACTTGCGCAGGTTCAGTTTTTTCGATATTTTTCTCTAAGTACTCTTTTTTACTGTAAAATATACAATAAACACTCAACCTAGATATTAATGGTATAAATATTTCAAAACATTTTTAATCCTATTTGACATCAACAGATCAAATTCCAATCTACCCTTTTTCGTTATTACGGAGGTCATAAGTTCATCAAAAAGGGTACCCTTTTTCATCAAACGATGTAATGACGTATTAGACCGAAAAGGGTACCTTTTACCGTCTTACTTCTTAACAACAAGATCGACGAAAAAGGGTACCCTTTTTCATCATGTTCGAAAACGACGCGTTTGAGCGATAAACATCGCCTTTTTTCGGAAAAAGGTGGGGGTATTGTACGTATTTCAGAAATGCTTTATGCCATCGAAAAGGGTATATTATTTAGTGCAGTCGATGAGAAGTACATACGTCAAAAGATGGATTTTCTCTAAATTTTGCTTTCCAGATTCGGAATTTTTCCAGTTTTAGAATTGCCGGAGCCGTCCAC